TCGGAGCTGTCGCGGTGGCGCCTGGGCGCTGGGCTGGCGCTCCAGCATGCCTTCGAGCTCGCTGGCTTCCTCCTGGACAGCGAGGCCAGCCAGGTCAGGTCGTGCGGGATGCCGAGGGGGCGCCGTGCCAACTGGACGCCGAGCTTATGCAGGTGCTGGCTAGCGAGCGCTGGGAGGCCGACCCCAGCGTCCCCGAGGTGCCCGGCTGGCTCCTGCATGATTCCCACTGGACCACGGTGATGGCGGACAGGTTGGTTTTCGGAGATGACATCCTCAGACTCGAGGCGCGAGCGCTAGTGAAGGCTGCATCTCGGGCCGCGCACTCTCAGCCATTACAAGAATGCCGCGCCTTCTTCTTGGGAGACGTTTTTTCTGTTACGCTATGCTTTTGCCGTTTCAGGCCCAGGGAAATTCGGCTTGTAATTTAGGTCCGTCGTTTTGCAGCTCTGTGCCTGGCGGGAGATCTCAAATTTGTTGTTCGGTGGGCTCCAAGTGACTCAACTCTGGTGATGTGGGTAGCCGCAGATTCGATCCTGCTTACGATGGCAACAAAACGCTCGTTGCCCATCCTGGCTCATAGTAGCTTTCGCCCCAGGCTTGCGGGGGCCTCTGTCACGCTGCCGGGCCAGGCCCCGCCTGGCTGCGAGGCGCAGCGGCGGATGGCGCTGAGCCGACGGTGAAGACGCCCAGCTCGCCCGCAGTCGGGGCGCGCCAAAGGCGCGCGCGCGGACGCCGAGTGCGACCAGGGGTCGACTGTAGCCCCTGTGGCCGCCACCCGCTCAGAGGGCCCGGGCGCTGGATCACGGCCGCGGGCTCGCTGCGAGGCTGGTGGTTCAGCCGACCGCGAGATTGCCGCATCGGGAGAGCGTCGAGGGCTGCCTGGCGCCGGGCCGCCGCGCCGCCCCCGCGCGGGCCGGCAACGGCCGAGGCCGCGCGGCCGCCGGGGCAGAGGCGGAGTGCGAGAGCGAGGAGAGCAGCGACGTCGTGGAGACCGCCGCGGGGGCAGGCAGCTCGCGCCGCCTCGAGACGCAAGGCAAGGCGCGGGTTCGGAAGGCGCTCGCCCTGCCGGGGGCCCCGCCTGGCGCGGTGCAGGACGAGGAATTGGGCGTCAGCTACCTCGAGAGGCGCTTGGTCGGGAGGGCCGCCCTCGAGACCTACCGCCGGTGCGCGCTCGCATTCTGCGCCCGGGCCCGCTGCTCGCTCGCGGCCCTGCTGGCGCCCTCGGAGCTGGACGCGCGCCTGGAAGACTGCGCGAACCTGGAGTTCCTGAAGGGGGTGACGTCCCGGAGGGGAGAAAAGCTGCTAGCAAACCTGATGTTCTTCCACCCGGACTACGTTTTTTTGGGGGGGGCTGCACTTGCCGCGGTCTCTTCGTTGCCTGAAGGGCTGGGAGAAGTTGTCACCATCTCGATCTCGGGGGCCCTTAGTACATGCGATGTGGGCGGCGCTGGCCGTGGAGCAGTGCCGACTCGGGGCGCCCTTGGCAGGAGCTATGGCGTCGATGATGGTGGATTGCGACCTGCGCCTGGGAGAGAGATGCTGATTTTGACGAGCAGGTCGTTCTTGGCTCCGAGCGAGCACGCTGGTCAGCACAGGGCCGTCCGGCTGTTTCCGGAGGCAGGGGCTGCTCGGTGCAAAGTGGGATCCGCGAGCGACGCGATGCCTCGCGACTCCAGGAGGCGCCCATTGGATGGCCCACATATTGCGAGCCCTCAAAGAGAAAGAATCATCAGGATCTTTCCTGGGCTTGAGCTACCCCTAGTTTCTGTGTCTGTTTCTGAGAGCGTCTTCGAACATCGGAGTAGAGTTCGCCCCCTAGCATCGCTAGATCGCGCAACGGGGCGGCGAACCCTGGAAGAGGCGCAAAAAGAGGAAGATGGGCTGCAGTGGAGTCGGTGAAGGAATGCGCAACATCAAGGCGCCTGAACGAGAGATTGGAGCGCCCATCAGAGGCGGCGCGGACACGCTGCGCGACCGCGGCGAGGCAGGTGGAGGATGTGCTGCAGCTCGGGCGGGCCGCGCCTACGCCGCCATTCGCGCGCCGCGCGGGCTGTCGCGGGCGCCCGCGAGCGCGGTGCTGGCCAGGGGATCGAGGCCGTAGATGTTTGACCTTCTTTGGCGGCGGCGGTGTTGGTGGCTTTGCGCAAGTTGTAGGGCGCGAGTCATGGACAAGACGTAAGAGTGACTCTTCGCCGGAGTGACTTTTACTAGCGTCTCGCGCGCTTGTGTGTTCGCCCCCCCGCGGCCCCCAAAAAACTTCGCACCAAAGGGCACTTTTACCCAGGGGCGAACAGCCAAGGGGCGGCATTGCACGTTTTCGCCAGGGAACTTCGCCGAAGACATGGACCATGGGCGCCCCTGGATACGAGCATGTGCGAACTTGTGCGCGTGAGCGCGGATGTGCCTGACATGCGCACGTGTCGGAAGGTCTGCGGCCTCCTCACTGACCCGCGCAGTGGCGCGGAGTGGGCAAGCACCGCACCGCGCGCCTTCTGCGCGTCAGAATCGGTCGACCAAACTCAGACATGAGCATTGCTACCGCGTAGTGTGCTCCTCCTCGTCCTCGTCCTCGTCCTCCTGCTCCTCCTCCTCCTCCTCCTCCTCCTCCTCCTCCTCTCTCTCCTCCTCCTCCTCCTCCTCTGTCTCCTCCTCCTCCTCCTTTTCCTCCTCCTCCCCCTCCTCCTCCTCCTCCTCCTCCTCCTCTTCCTGCTCCTCCTCCCCGCCCACCCTCGCCCTTCTCCTCCTCTTCCTCTCCCTCCTCCTCTTTCTCCTCCTCCTCCTCCTTTTCCTCCTCCTCCTCCCCCGTCTCCCCCTCCTTTTCCCCCCCTCCTCTTTTTCCTCATCTTCATCGTGTTCCTCCTCCTCTCCCTCACCAAGCGTGGCCAACGCTGGCGCCAAATATGCGTACTCCTCGACAGCCAGGGCGCCGTGCCCACAGTTGGCACTCGTGAGGATCGCCACGTTTTGTTGAGGGCAAGCCGGGCGCGGCCTAACCGACCCTGAAAAAAAATCAATATTTTTCCGTGACGTTATCGTCGCTTTTCGAGCTCACTTCTTCCTCCTCTCCCTATCCTCCTCCTCCTGCTCCGCCTCCTCCTTTTCCGTTTCCTTTCCGTCCTCCTCCTCCTCCTCCTCCTCCTCCTCCTCCTCCTCCTCATCAGCAAACAATCCCCTTCCGCGACGTCATCCTCGCGTTTCGAGCTCCCCTTTGGCCGCATGCACACGTCTTTGGGCGAGGCGAGGGGGACGTCACGTAAGGAGATGGTTTGCTAACGGTCGGTTAGGCATTTGGCTGCCCCGGAGCCAAGGCGCCATGTCCACAGCTGGCCCACAGAGCCGGCAGAGGTTTCCGGCCCACCAGGAGGGGCGCCATCCTTGTGAGTGTGGCCGCTGTTCGACGGCCAAAATGCCTGGCCCACAGCTGGTCCACAGAGCCGGCAGAGCTTTCTGTTTTTTTGTTGGAGGAACGACATCCTCGTGAGGGTCGCCACTTTTCGTCGGCCCACGGCTGGCCCACCGAGCTGGAAGAGGCTTCCGGCCCACCAGGAGGGGCACCACCCGAGTGAGGGCCGCCATTCGAAGGCCCAGGCGCCCGGCCCGCAGCTGGCTCACAGAGCCGGCAGAGCCCTCCAGCCTGCTGGGAGGAGCGCCATCTATGAGAGCCGCCCTTTTTTTGAGGGCCAACGCGCTTGGCCCACCGATAGCCCACCGAGCTGGCAGAGGCTTCCGACCCACCAGGGGGGGCGCCATCCCTGCGAGGGTCACCCCTGTCCGAGGGCCAAAGCGCCCGACCCACAGCTGGCTCACAGAGTCCGCAGAGCCTTCCCGACCGCTGCTGCCATCCTCGTGAGTGTAGCCATTTTACGATGGCCAGGGCGCCCGAGCCACAGCTGGCCCACAGAGCCTGCAGAGGCCGCCGGCCCACCAGGAGGGGCGCCATCCCTGTGGATGTCGCCACTCTTCGAGAACCAACGCGCCTGGCCCACAGCTGGCCCAGCCCGCTGGCAAGAGCGCCATCTTCGTGAGGGTTTCCTTTTTTTGATGACCAAGGCGCTTGGTTCACAGCTGGCCCGCAGAACTGGCAGAGGTCGCGGACATGAGAAGAAACGACGACATGAACAGCAGTCAGACAGCACATGAACAGCAACGACGACATGACCAGTCGCATAATCATAAGCAGCAGTGGCGACTTCAGCAGCAGACACATCAGCAAATTAGTAACGAGCAGCAACCGCATCAGGAAAGCCAGCAGAGGTCTCGGAACACCAATGTTTGTTGCCACCAAGGGCCCCTGTTTTATGCCAGAGCAAATTTGGAAACACATCAAACGCTTACACAAGACCCTGGTGTATTTGACCGATCTTCGAAAGTGCCAATTGAGGGGATGAGGGGAGAAGTAGAAGGAGGAGGAGGAGGAGCAGGAGAAGAAATGGGAGAAGGCGCAGGAGGAGGATGAGGAGGAGGAGGAGGAGGTGGAGGAGGAGGAGGAGGAGGAGGAGGAGGGAGGGGAGGGAGGGAGGGAGGAGGGAGGGGAGGGGAGGGGAGGGGAGAGGAGGAGGAGGAGAGGAGGAGGAGGGAGGGGAGGGGAGGGGAGGGGAGGGGAGGGGAGGGAGGGAGGGGGGGGGAGGAGGGGAGGGGGAGGGGAGGGGGAGGGGAGGGGAGGGGAGGGGAGGGAGGAGGAGGAGGGAGGAGGAGGAGGAGGAGGAGGAGGAGGAGGAGGAGGAGGAGGAGGAGGAGCGAGGGGGGAGGAGGAGGAGGAGGAAGAGGATCGAGGAGGAGGAGGAGGAGGAGGAGGAGGAAGGAGGAGGAGGAGGGCGGAGGAGGGCGGAGGAGGAGGAGGAGGAGAAGGAGGAGGAGGAGGAGGAGGAGGAGAAGCAGGAGGCGGCACCTCTCCCGTGCCACTCCTCCTCGCCCTGGCCCTCGCCCCTCCCCTCGCCCCCCATCCCATCCCAAGCCTGCGCCGCGGGCCGCGCCCATCGGCCTCCGCGCGGCGGCGTCAGGCCGTGGTCATCGACTTCGGTGGCCTGTGCACGAAGGTCGGCTTCGCCACGGAGAGCCGGCCAAGGCGGATGTGCTCCTCCCTCCTTCTCCTCCCTCCTTCTCCTCCCTCCTCCTCCTCCTCCCTCCGACTTCCTCCTTCTGGTCCTCGCCGCCCACGGACATTGCGGTCCCGGCGGCTGCACGGGGCCCCCCCGCAGCCTGGCCGCCCCTGGGCTCCGCCGCTGACCGGGGCTTGCCCCCTGTCGATGCCGGTCCAAGGGGCGTGGCTCGGGCAACGGCGGGTGGCGCCACGACGCAAAAGCCAGTTCCGTCATCGCGTGCCCGAGTCCGCGGTCAGCCAGTCCCATGCAGTTCCCCACCATCCCCAACAGGGAGGAGGAGGAGGCGGAGGAGGAGGAGGAGAAGGAGAAGCGGGAGGAGAATGGGGAGGGGGAGGGGGAGGGGGAGGGGGAGGAGGGAGAGGGGGAGGACCTGGAAGGCGGAGGAGACGAGCGCGTGGCGGAGCATTGGGCGCGCGCGCGCCCGCCAGAGGCAAGGAGTGGGGCAGGAAGACCTGTCCTCGTCTCCCTCCTCTTTCCTCCGCCCTCAAAGCCTCGAAGCCTCGAAGCTGCCGACCAGCCTGCTTATCCTCTTGGAGCCCTCGGCGGTCCTCCGCCCAGCTGCCGCTGGGGAGGGTCCATGAGGTGGGGCGACCGGCGAATACGACGGAACGGCGAGACGACAAATGACCTGGATGCTGCTGGCCTCCGCCCTCCTCCCCATCCCTCTGCTCTCCTCCTCCCCCCCGCTTAGCCCCTTCCCTTCCCCCCCCGCGCGGCTCTTCGCCCGCGCCCCCCCAGGCACATCGTGTCCACCCCGCAGCTCCGCGTGGCCCCGCCCCCCGGCCGGGGCGTCACGAGCGGCCCCTCGGAGGAGCAGTGGGTGGAGATCCTGGACAGGCCGGGCGGGGGGCGGACATCACGGGAAGATCGGACGCTGCGCTCGTGGGCGGGCGATAACCTTCAGAGCTGGGTGAGGCACCGTTCTCACGACGGGCGTCTTCGCCCAGCTTCGGGCCCCCGGGCCTGCGAGGAGAGAGTAGTCAGAGGGGGGCAGGGAGAACAGGAGGGATAGGACAGGGGGGGAGGTGGGCGCGGACCGGCGCGCGGAAGGGTTGACGGAGGGTCGGCGACTACAATGGGTGTGGTTATGCCGGAGTGTGGTTTGCGATCGGCGCCGTTGGGGTTTCGAGAGGGTCACCCCGTGGCGCCATAGGTTTGATAAGCCCTCGTCGGGGGCGGCGGAAATCTCTGTCGAGGTCCTCGACCGCCCCCCGGGCGCGGGTTGCAAACCACGTCTTTTGTAATCCACACCCCCTCGGAGTCGCCGAACGTGAGGGTGGACGCAAAAAAGGGAAGGTGGAGGGACATTCTTCGAGGCCGTGGGCGCCCCTGCGCCGACGGCAAGTCGACGTCGACAGCTGGATCGCCAACGCGGGCTCCTCACTCGAGGGCGCTGTCGGCAAGGGAGTCTTCGGAGACCTCCGTGTCGCCGTTTGGGGCAGCCCACGTCGAACCCCCCTCGGATCGATAGGGCACCCGCGAACGTCTACACGCTGCGCCCCCCGCCTGGCACAGTCAGCGGCGCTGAATTGCAGGGTGGACTGGCCCAGGGCGCAGGCACCGTCTTCCAGATTGCCCGTTCACCTCCGATCGGGGCCGGGATGCCCCACCCCGCCCGGGAACGTGAGGCTTTGGTATCGAGGGCCTATCGCCGATCTATCAGTCGCGCAGCGCCGATTCCAGGTCAGTGTCTCCCCCGCTGCGCCCCTTCCCAGAGAAAGAACCTGCGACTGGATGCAAGTTCTGCCGGCCGCTGGACTCAAGATACGTTGGTGCACCCCTCACGGGGCCCAGAGGGCCCAGAGGGGCTCCAGAACGGCAGCGGGAAGCTGGGGACACTTTCTCGGGGAGCGAACAATGACATGACCACAAAAGCTCAAAACTCGGAGGTCCGCGCGGGTTTCTCGGATCAGCGCTGGGCCCGGTGCGCTGGAGGCTCCGCCAAGGGGGCCCCGTCGCCCATCGCCGATCCGAGGAGTCCTCGCGGACCTCCGAGATCTTCTGTTCCTGTCCCTGCTCGCTCCCCTGCCCCTGGCCCGGGACCCCCTCCGCAACACCCGCGAGGCCCGACGCGGTTCCGGCGGGTGTGCCGCACCGCGCGGGCGGGCCGGCCCCACGACGCATCGCTCCCGCCTCCCCCGTGCCTCGCCGCGTGCCCTGGCGCGCCCCGCCGCTGCTCGACCGCCGTCGGATCCTCTCTGCGGCCGCTTTCCGCACGCGTCGCCACGGGGGACAGGTCAGGAGGGGGAAGAACACACAGAGGCACAATGAATCGTCGACTCCCAGGAAAAGATGGGAAAATATGGGAAGTGGGGGGGAAGACGAAAACCCGGAAAATGTGTGACAATATGGGGAATCCTTTCATTTGTGTGTATTTGTTTGTGTGCCCCAGGGCCCCTTCAACAGGGGTGCTGCGGGGACCGCGTCGTGGATTTGTTCCTTGCTTTCGGCCTTTGAGGGTTCTCCCCGCCCCGGACCCGCTAAAACAAATCACCCAGGGTAGAATAAGAATGGCCCTGGGGAAAGCTCCTAGGTCCAGGACCGGTTTCCCTGAGGACACCTTCCCGTCACGGTAAGCTTCTAGGCAGGGTGGAGAGGACGAGTGAAGGTGACCCACAAGGTAGGGTTGAGGAGGAGATGGGGGTTGAGAAGCAGGAGGGTGGGAGGAAAGAACCCTAGGGTGTTGAGCCGCCTGCTCAGCCTTCTCAGGGAGGGTATTTCCTCAGCGCAGCAGAAGGTGTGGCCCGCTAGTGCATCTGGAAAGTAGACGGTCTCGAATTTGCATATGTTTTGCGTTCCTTTCCCATCTGCTCATGGTAGTCTCATATGCAGTTCGCCCCTCTAATGCCCCACTAATGCTCCTAAGGGCCTGCTAATTCCCCGCGCACGTATCATGTCCTTGCCAATGGCCCACGCGTGAATTTTGCCCGCTCATGGCCCACTGGCAGATTTCACCCACAAGTGGCCCACCAATCATCAGGTCGTGACTCTTGTCCCACCAATTGCCCACTAACCATACTTCGGCGACAAGCGAGGGGGGGAAGTGAGAAGGAGGAGACCTTCTCAGAAGGTTCGGAAGTCCCCAGGCCCTCTGAGAAATTTTCTAAGCCTTCCCCGAAAACAAAAATAACTTCTCAGAAGGCGCGAGGGCTTCTGAGAAGTCCCGACGCCTTGTGAGAAGGCTTCCCCCCCCCCGCTCGCCGCCGAATATTCGTAGTTGTTTCTTCTGATCCTTCTCTAGCGTTGTCAGGCTCGCAAATATCGTTCGTGCATAATCAAGTGGTCCTTCGCGTGCCACTCTCCGGGCTCAAAGTTTCGGTGAAACATTGCTGCATTCCCCTGCGTTCGTCCATTAGTGGGCGGTCCATGAGTGGAGTCCACAGGCATTGTGAGGCGGGGCCCTTCACGACCCTTCCCCCTCTCTCATCCCCTTTCTCTCTTGTCCCTGCTCTCGGCCGTGTCTGCTTTTGGGCTTTAGCTGTGGTCAACTGTCAGACCCGTTGTACCGCAGCGTTGCAGGACGAGCAATGCGAGGCGGGGAGGAGGAGGTAGGATGAGGGCAGCCGTGGCCAAAGTGGTGTGTGATGGTCCTGGTAAGGCGCGTTGTAGCGATGCTTTGTCGCGCGGCCGAGTTTGTGACACACGAGAAGTCGTCGTGGTGTTTGCAGGTTCGATGTGCCAGCATGCTTTGTTTTTGAAGGCGGGTATGAGGTGCAGGAGGAGGTGGAAGAGAAGGAGGACAGTAGGGTGAGCAGGAATGTTGTCGTGGAGGGAGGAATGGGGGAACGGAGAAGCGGAGCGCGAGGAGGGGATGAATGTGGGGGGGGGGGGGGGAGATTCGGAAACCTACTTTCTTGACTCTTCAATGCGATTGTCCTCGCCCTCTTTTGGGAAGCTGCGCAGGGGCACCCCCACAGTCCATGCTCGCGCAATCATTGTGTTGCCAGGCTGCTGTCGCAGATCTACTTTCACTACCTCAGCGTGAATCCAAAGGAGCGACGAGTAGTGATATGTGACCCTGTCAATCAAGCTGGCAATCGCCGTGATATTTCCGTAGACCCCATGCGTCTCGTAGTTGTGAGTATTGCCGTTGTTGGTCCGCCCTGCGGCGGAAGAAGAGGAGCAGGGGCGGGCGGGACGGTTGGAGGGGGGCAGGTGGGTGTAGGGGTGGGGGCGCGGGTGGATGATGATGGTGATGACGGTGATGCTGACGGTGATGCTGATGCTGATGAGTATGATGATGATGTTGACGATGCTGTTGATGATGATGATGATGATGATGATGATGATGATGATGGTGGTGGTGGTGATGCTGAGTGTGGTGATGCTGATGCTGATACTGATGATGCTGATCATGATGACGATGCTGCTGATTATGATGAGAAAGTTGCTGATGCTGTTATCATTGTGAGGTTGCTGACGATGCTGCTAATGATGTTGAGGATGATTACTATCATTATGATGGTGATGGTGCTGATGCAATTGATGCTAATGATGGTGATGCTGCTGCTGCTGCTGATGTTGATAGTGATGGTTCAGGAGGGGAAACCACAGACACCATTAATCGTTGATTCCCCAGACATATGTATGGGAAATCATAGGAAGTGGGGGGGGGAAGACACACACCCAGACACTATGAGAACATATGGGAAATCCTGTTACTTCTGCCTATTTACGTGCGTGTCCCAGGGCCCCCTCAATGGTGATGATGCTGATAATCATGATGTTGCTGATACTGATTAGGATGACGCTGCTGATGATGATGGTGCTGACGATATCGACGATGCTTATTATGATAATGATGCTGGTGGTGATGATGATGGTACAGGTGATGGTGATGCTGCTGCTGATGATTGTGTTGATGTTGCTGATGATGATCATGCTGAAACTGATGATGATGCTAATGATGAGACTGCTGATGATTCTGCTGATGGTGCTCATGATGATGATGATGATGATGATGATGATGATGATGATGGTGATGTTGATGATGATGGTGATGATGTTGATTGTGGTGATGGCAATGGTGATGATGTGAGTGCTAGTTATTTTGTTGTCATCCTGATGACGGTTACGACGGCGACGGGGACTACGAGTTGAATCAACGACGATTGTGGTGGTGATTTCGATGTTGTTGGCGATAGTGCGGATTGTGGTGATGATGGCTGTTTCTGCGTCAAGTGACATGGTTGTTATTGTCAGTGATGACTCTGAGGATTAGGATGGTGATAGTGGTGATGATTACGACTGGCGTCCATACGGCGTGCAGGGCTAGCGTGAACAACAACGGATGTGCAGAGCGCCTCGTGGGCCAGGCTTGCCCTGTGCCCTGGCGGGCTCCTCCGTGCAGTTCCGACACGCTCTCACTTTCGTGCTCTTCAAGCGGCTTTCGGTGCCTTCGGTGGCCTTCGTCTGCGACCTGACGTTGCCGCTCTACCTGACGGGCTTGAGCACGGGGACCCGACCCGTCATATTCCTCCCTCTTGTCCCTCCGTTGCATTCCCCCCTCCCGCGTCTCTATCGTTTGTTTTTTGTTTGCTTCTCTCTCTCTATCCCTTTCTCGCGTTCGTTCTTTCCCTTGCTCACATTATCGCGCTCTCTATTTCTCTCTTTCCATCTCTCTCGTTCTCTCTGTCTCTCTCTCTCTCTCTATCCCTCCCCTGTCTTGCTCTCTCTCTCTCTCTCTCTCTCGCTCCCCTCTCTGTCCGTGTTCCACACCGTCCCTCTCCTCGTCACTCTCCCCTTCTCTATCACATTTCGCACCCCCTCCACCCCTTATCCAGCATGACGCATTACGAGTACATGTATGTCAGCGTTGACCCCTACGTGAGTTATTGCGCTCTGGTTTCCTAAAAGTACGCGGCTTAGTGTATGTGGTGCTGTCTATGGTGTGCAGTCCCATGTGGTGTAAGATATCCGTGCTGCAGGCTCTGCCGCGCAGGCGATATGGTGCAGGCTATGTGATGCGAACGACTATTACGAATTCGAAGCCATCAACTTCACTGCCCGCGCAAACATCCCACCCTCCCACACGTAATGCGTGTTGACAAAGCCCCGTTCGGCCAGCATTGCTGTCCTCGATTTGGACTTCCTGGCGCGTCTCTACGGCCGCGCTGGCGCGCGCACGCTCGCGCGCAGAGCGACCAGATGGTCTTGGCGCAACTCATGCGGCCACGAGGGCTCTTACTTGGTGGGCTTGTTTCCACCACCACCACCAGAAGTAGGAGGGGGAGGGGGTCTTCTCCTCCTCATTATCCTCCACCTCCTTCCCGCCTCCAATATCTGGTGGTGGTGCAAAAAAGGCCCATCATTACTGATGGGAGCTTCCCATCGCGTCTCAAAGGTCGCGCTAGCGCTCGGACATTTCAGGCGCGGGTGTACTGTTGTCATGTTGTCGGCACCGGCGGCAACGATGATGATACTAACGATGGCAATGTCGATGATGGCGACGACGACGGACAAGGCCAATGACGGCGCCGATGCTGGTGATGACGATGACGATGATCATGCCCATGTGTCGGTGATGGAGGTGACGGTGATGACGATGGCGGCAATTGTGGCGATTCACGCTGACGATAACGGCGGTGATGCGATTGCGTTGTCAAGGCTGCAATTGTGATGCGATGTGATTGCGTTGTAACGGCGGCGATGCGATGCGATTGCGGTGGTGATGCGATTGCGGTGATGCGATTGCGAGGAAGTGCGCGTGCACGCGCATCACTTGCAAGCGTCAGTCCGTGTTATGTTGAACACATTAGGTTTCCATGTGTTTCAGTCGAGCCCTATCCTGAAATCAGTTTAGCACCGTGTGTTGTGCAATGGGGTTCGACACGCGCCCATGGCGACTTGCGCTTTGGGCCCGCATGGTTTTCTTTTACACGGATCCGTACACTAGGGCGCATGCTAGATCAACGCGGGTGCACCGCGTGGTGAGATGAGATGGGAATGCGGGTTTTGGGAGAGGTTGATGTCCCGATTTTCCACAACCACTACCATAGGATAGGGAGGAGGAGGAGGAGGAGGAGCAGAAGGAGGAGGAGCAGGAGGAGGAGGAGGAAGAGAGGCAGGAGGAGGAGAACCTCCCCATCCTCCCTTTCCCCCTGTCCTTCCCATGGTAGTGGTAGTGGAGAATCTGCGCATCAGAGATTGCTAAACCAATGTGGTCTTCCCATGATTACAGAAACTGCGCGCGTGCAGAACAGGTGCAATATTCCCATAGAAAATCCGGATGTTGTTTGTGGGTGTGTATTGAGCTGCTTGCACAACGGGTGCGTTTGAAGTGCTTCTTTTGGCATGTTCGCGCGCGTGTGGACTTGATGGTGTTGTGTTGCAAAGGGTTCTTGCAAACTTTTCATCAGAGATACGCGAGTGCGCGCGAATAGCTTCACTTGAGAGGGTTGGGAAATCAATGCTAGTTTGGCTGGGATTGTCTGAGTCTGCATAGACAGTGGGTGATCACCATAATCAGATGTAACGTGTAGCATCCCAGGGGGAGCCGATTATTCCTTGTTCGGGGGGATGGTCGAGCTTATCTTGCGTTAACAATGGGATCAGCGAGGTGCAACCTACGTGTGCAGGTTATGTGGAGCAACATAGACCCCCCCCGCCTGGGAGACGCCACTCCGCAACCATCCGGGAGAGCGTTTTCGATATCCTCCCGAATCGCCTCCCAGTGGCGGCCCAGAGAGGCCAACGGGGTGCCAAAACGGGACAAGAGGATTTCAATCGGCCCCCGAGACGGTCCAAGACGCCTAAGACGGCCTCCAGACGGCCCAAGATACCCAACGGGCCTCCAAGAGGTCTCCCAAGAGAGCTCGAAGCGGCAAAACGCATTGAGTTTCCCCTGGTTTGTGAGCAATTTTGGAGTTTCCGCCTGTTCCGCTTCTCGACGCTGCAAGACGCCCCAAGAGACCCCGAGGATCGCCCCAAGACGGCCCGATAGGCTTCAAACGCGCCCCAAGACGGTCCCAAGACGGCTCCGGCCGAAGGGACGTCCATTACGGCCTGTACCGCCTACCCTGAAGACGAAGAAGATGAAACCGAGCGGGGGGTGGTAGGAGGCGGAGGAGGAGGAGGAGGAGGAGGAGGTGGAGTGGGGGGGGAAGAGGCAGGTTGGAGGAGGCGGATGAGGGATGAGGAGGGGGGGGAAGGATGAGGAGGAGCAGGATGAGGAGGAGGAGGAGCAGGAGGAGCAGGAGGAGGAGGAGGAGGATGAGTCGGGGAGCAGCGAGAGGAATGCGGCGGAGGAGGAGGAGGAGGAGGAGGAGGAGGAGGAGGAGAAAGAGGAGGTTGAGTGGGGGAGCAGCGAGAGGAAGCGAGTAGGAGCAACCAATTCTGGATGCCTTTGCTCTCGACGGAAATGGGAGGGAGAGGGCGGGGACAAAACGTTTCCGAAAATCAATGAATATGGCCTCTCCGGGCCTTCTTGAGAGTTCTTGTGGGGCTCTCTTGACCCGTCTGAGGGCCCCCTTTGACCGTCCTTAGGCATTCTTGGGCTGTCTTGTCGGGCTTGGGCCGTCTAGGGGCGCTCTTGCAGATCCGTCGTGGCGACCCCCTCTCCTCCAGCGCATCTACAGAGGGCCCCTTCTGTAATAGCCGCAAACGAGGGATGGTATTTCGACCCGGGACCCCCCCCCAGGACCCTCCCACCCCGGCGGGGAAGGGATCAAAGGGAAGGGGCTTCCCCTCGACTCGATGACAACGTTGTTAATTTCGCTTCGGCTGGGTTGCTTCATTTCGCTTTGGCGGGCGCGCTCGAGGGGTGGAGCGGCGACGGACGCAGAAAAGAAGACGACGAGTACGTACGAGGACAACAACCACGACGAACAGCGCATTCCACACGCCGACAGGGTCGGCGGATTTCATCCTCCTGCTGCTCCTCCTCCTCGTCCCCCCCCTCTCCTCCCCTCCTCCTCCTCCTCCCTCCTCCTTCCTCCTCCTCCTCCTCCTCCTCCTCCTCTCTGCTCCTCCTCCTCCTCCTCCCTCCTCCTCCTCTCCTCCTCCTCCTCTCTCCTCCTCTCCTCACCTCCTCCTCCTTCTCCTTCTTCTACTCCTCTCCTCCTCCTTCTCCTCCTCCTCCTCCTCCTCCTCCTCCTCCTCCTCCCCCTCCTCCTCCCCCTCCTCCTCCTCCTCCTCCTCTTCCTCCCCCCAAAAAACCTCTTCACTTCCTGCCGTGAGCCTGCCCACGTGCCGAGGATCGTCGTGGACGTCGGTGCGCCGTGCGGCCGGCAAACCGATGTAGCCACTCCTCGGGAACTGTCAGGCCAGACGAAAGGGGGGGGATAGGGAAAGGTCGGAGGTGGATAGACTTCCTACTCTGACAGGTCGATTAAGGAAGTGGCCGTTTTCGGTTCGCGAGGGGGCGTCGCGGCCGTCACTTTTGCGTGTCCAGGTCCGTCGGTTTCGGTCCCAGGCCGTTTTCTCTAAGGGGAGGTTTACTAAAGGGAGGTTTGTCCACCGCCGAAAAGGGGGGGTTACGAAGTTTGCTGCATGCAGCTGGTTTCGGCCCCACCGATAGGGCCTATTCCTCGATACATGGCCGCCTCCGGCGCCGGGAGGCGCCGGGAAAATCAGCTGCGTGAGCTGATTCTCAGACCCCCCCTTTGCTATCCCCCCCTTTCGCCCGACCCGAAACTGGAGCGCGAGGATGATGCGAGGATGGTGAGCAGGAGCAGGAGCAGGAGCGCGACCCCGAACCCAGCCAAGCGACCGGTACATGCAGCTTTTGGCGTCCCTGGCTCGCCAGCCGAACGACCGGTAAATGCAGCTTTTGGTGTCCCTGGCTTGCCAGCCGAACGACCGGTAAATGCAGAGTTTGACATCGGGAAGGGCGCACAGGAAAAAAAAGGAGCAGGCAAGGGAACAATTTGAAGGGGAGGAAGGTGGTCGCGTTGTTATTCGTTGTTCTGCCGATCGGCGCGTCCCCCCGCCTCCCCCCCCTTCTTTTCCCCCCCATGGAGCAGATCTTGGCTGTTTTGGGCGCCTGTTTCGAGCAGGTGGAGTCTCCCCCCATCGGACGCACTGCTGCAAACAGTCGCACGAAGCAGAGATCTGGAGCAGGACCCCCCCCTTTCGCCCAGCGTCGAAACGCCGAGTAAGAAGACGCTCGCCAGAGGATGTATGGTGATTAGGATTAGGGCGGAGATCGGGAGGAGAGGATTAGGAGGAACGAAGTCGAGGAGGAGAAGGAGGACGAGGAACGGATGATGCACGGTGGTTAGGGGATGAGGATGGGGATGATGACGAGAAGGAACAGTCGCAGACACAGCAACGGCAGTGTCTGTGTTCCACGTGCCCACAGCCCCGCAAGCTCTGCGTGCGCCGTCGTCCTCGTCTCTGTCCCGCGCGTGCTCCTCCCTCCTTCCTCCCTGGTGCTGTCCCTTGCTTTCTTCGTTGTCGTACGCGCCCTCGTCTTCGCTCTTGTCCTGCTCCTCCTTCATCCGCCTACTGGATTAGAGGGAGAGAGGATCGCCACACCCGCTTTCGGCTTCAGGGGTACCTAGAGCAATGGTAGGATAAGGCGGTCATCGGCCAGGTACTGGAGATTGTGGGCAGATCGCGGGAAGTCCGCGCCGCCACGACGGACGACAACGGGCCACATCCTTGAAGTAAATGGGATGGCGAAATCTCAGTGTCAGAAGAGGAGAGGGAAGCAACATGATCAGGAGAGCAGGAGGATGCGGAGGAGGAGGAGGAGGAGGAGGAGGCAGAAGAAAAAAAACAAGGAGGCTGGCAGGAGTCCCCCCATCCCTCCTCCGCCCCCGCCTTCATCACCTTCTTTGGCTCCGAGCCCAGGCTTCGAGTCCACCCGCCTCCTGGCCACTTTCGCAGGCGCCTCCGCGCGGGCGCGGCCTGGCAGAGAAGGAGGAGGAGGAGGAGAGAAGAGAGCAGGCGGAGAGGGGATCGGATCGACTCGCTGGGCCGGCCCGATGTCGGGGGCCCCATCGGGGGTCACAAGGGGCGATAGCTCTGTTCTCAATTGTGATAGTTTTGTTATTCATTATTTTGATGATCGGCGCGGGCCTTCGCACCCCCTCCCTCCCCCCACCTGGAGTGGATTTTGGCTGTTGTTGGCGCCTGTTTCTAGCAGGTGGAGCCCCCCCCCCCCCCCAGACGACGCACGGTCCCAAACAGTCGCACTAAGCAGAGGTCCAGAGCCAGATCCCCCCCCTACCCCCCCCTTCCGCCCAACGTCGAAACGCTGAATAAAAGAGCGCTCACATTCCCGTCTTGAGGGCTCCCAGAGCACCACTCCCACTTGGACTCCTGCAGAAGTCGCGGGACAGCTTCAGGGCAAGTTCCAGCAAGGTGGCTTCCATAGTTGGGCGTCGGGAGGAGGAGCAGAAGGAGGATGTGCAGGAGGAGGCAGAGGAGGAGGATGAGGGGGAGGGGGAGGAGGAGGAGGAGGAGGAGGAGGAGGAGGAGGAGGAAGAAGAAGAAGAAGCAGAAGACGAAGAAGACAGGCAGGAGCAGGAGCAGGAGCAGGAGCAGAAGTGGAGGAGGAGCGGAGCAGGATAGGCGGGGCGGGGGGAACAGGATGATTAACAGGAGCGTGAAGTACCTTCGAGCAACAACATGGAGGAGTCCATTCCCAGTTCAGGCCGCTCGATCCGGCCTGAACGAGAGTGACGTGAAGTCATAGCGCCAGGTTTGTCGACAGTCTATTCCCACATAACCTCGCATCGAGCTCAATGCCCACTGGAGTGCCCGCTGCCGTATGGGGAAGGAGGAGTGCAGGAGCAGGAGCAGGAGCAGCAGCAGGAGCAGGAGCAGGAGCAGCAGTAGGAATGGGAGCAGACACCGCTCAGCTTGACGGGCAAGCGAGTTTGGAGGGATGTTGATGATGCTGATGATTGGATGATGATGCTGCTGCTGATGATGATAGTGTTGGTTGTGCTGCTGGTGATGATGCTGCTGACGATTATGATGCTGGTGATGACGATTGTGCTGATGATTATTATTGTTCTTGATGTGGTATCACGATTCATCATTCCGTAGTAATATTAGCTGGATTATTCGTATTTTGACTAGTGTTACACTGATGCTGGTGTCGCTGCTGCTGATGACGATACCGGTGATGATCATGATGCTGGCGATAATGCTGGCGATGCCGATGTTGGCGATAATGATGTTGATGCCGATTGTGTTGATGTTGTTGACGTTGACGATAATGTTGTTTGTGGTGGTGACGATGATGATGGTGTTGATAATGATGCTGCTGATGCTAATGGCGACCATGATGATCCTGATAGTGATGACGACGACATGCTGCTGCTGATGACGCTGATGATGGTACTGATGGTGATGCTGAGGATGAGGATGAGGTTGCTGCTGATGATGCTGCTGATGATGATGATCAGGATGCTGATTAGCTGATGATGATGAAGATGGTACTTCTGATTCTGCTAATGATGCTGATACTACTGATGATACGGATGGTGAGGATATTGATGATGCTGATGATGTCGATGATGATAACGACGCTGCTGATGATATCGCTGATGATGATGACGATGATACTGCTGATCCTGATGCTGATGATGGGACTGCTGATACTGATGACACTGCTGATGGTACTGATATTGATGCTGATGCTGATGATGATGAATGGTCTGACAATTAGAATGTTGATACTGATGTTGATGATGCTGATGATGATGATGAGTATGATGATGCAACCGCTAATGATGATGCTGATGTTGATGATGCTGCTCTTGATGGTGACGATGATGACGATGTTGATGCTGACGATGCTGCTGATGATGATGACGATGATGCTGATGAGGATGACGATGATGCTGATGATAATGATGATGGTGGTGATGGTGATGGTGGTGATGATGATGCTGATGCTGATGCTGTTGATGATGATACTGATGATGATGATGATGATGATGATGATGATGACGATGATTATTATTATGATGATGAGGCTGCTGCTGATGATGCTGCTGATGATGATGATGATGATGATGATGATGATGGTGGTGGTGGTGGTGGTGAGGAAGAGGAGGAAGAGGAGGAGGAGGAGGAGGAGGAGGAGGAGGAGGTGCCCTGGGGCGGGGGAGAGAGGGAGAAGTGTGTTGGGCGATCTGGGGCATTGGGGAGAATGGAGCAGGAGAGCTTGGGGCAGACTCCGATTCCCGACGAGCGGCCTGGAGGATTGGAACAACTCAGCCTCAGATCTCTCCTTGGCCCGACTTGTCCCGCAGTCCGTCCATGCAGCGGCTTCACTCGCAGTGCGTGCCCAGACCCGCTACCTCGACCGCCAGCATTCAACAGCGCTGGGAGCACGGAGGCGTCTCGTTGCCTCCGTCGGCCTGGGCCCCGGGCGGCGCCGCCCCTCCGCGCAGGCGTGCCCGTCATCTCTGCCTTCAGCACCGCCAGGGGAGGCGGCCGCCTCATCGGCGCCAGGCTGCGGAGGAGGCTGCTGTCCGAGCTGCCCGCGGGCGCGCCCTCCCAGGAGGCGCAGCTCCCGCCCCTGCCCGCCGCGCTGCTCCCGCCGCCCTCTCTACTCCCTGCTCCGCCGCTCCGTCCCTCGCCCCCCCTCCCTCCCTTCCCTCCTTTCCCCCCGCCCTCCCTCCTGCTCTGCCCCACAAGGCCACTTATCGATGCTCCCGATCGGAAAATGCTACAAAATACCAACTAGTATTTCCAAATATTGTTTCAACCAAGCAAGCTCGGTGAAGCTTTAGGTCCTCTTCTATGTTCCGTCACGTCGCCTTGTCGGACAGTTTGAAAACTATTCCGCCCTCCGTGAAATTTGAGTGTGCCCAGCGGTCATGTTGCACGCCGTGCCGTCCTCCGTGAGTTCTGAGTGTGCCCAGCGCTCAGTTTGCAAAGCGTTCCGTCCTCCGCCATCGTTGCCCTGTCTTCCCGCTCCGTCGAACTCGTGTCCTCCCAGCGTCGCACTACTTGTTCACCTCGTCGTCCTCGTTCTCGTCTCGCTACTGTTCGTTATCCCTGCATCGCCTCTCATCATCCTACCCGGTCGCCTCCTCTCCCTCCGTCGCCGTCCTCTTCGCGGGGGCGGGCGGCTGCTCCTCGTCCTCCTTATCGTCCCAGTCGCCGCTTCTCCACCCAATCCCGTCTCCGCCACCTGTTTCTTTCCCGCCTCGCCGCTGCCTGGCTACCTGTGGGGTTCGCTTGGAGCCCTCGGGGAAGTCCGCCGGCCCGTTGGTGAGCTCTTGGCGCCCGCCGCGTTCCCGGGGGGGGCTGCGGGCCCCGGGGGGCTCGGAGCGCCCCGGGGGTTGGGCCGGGGATGGCCCGGGGGTGGGCCCGGGGACCCGACCCCCGAGCGGCCTTCAAATATTCCAGGGAGCCAAGGGGACCCGACCGGGCCGCGGCGGGGCAGTGAGATCACCCAGGGTGTTCATGGGGGATTGCGGCAGCCCCCCAGTCTCGTCCTCCGCTCTCCTCTGACCCCCTACCCGCGTGCCGCCCCCCCTCGTCGTCGTCCTTTTTCAGAGGAGGAAGATAGGAGGAGGGCGACGACGCAGGAAGTGCGGAGCTGGAGGCGCAGGCTCCTTTTCACTTTCGCCGCGGGCCCGACGTGGAGTCTCGGGGAGAGGGGGCGATCATAACCCCTACCAGACAGCGCCTGGCATTCTAGCGCGCTCGCGGATCCTCCACGGGGGGTGGAACGGGTTCAAGGGTCGCTGCTCGCGTTCCCCTGCTCGCGGCAGCGGCCTTCCGATAGGCAGCCGCCGTTTCCTCGAACGCGCGGCCACGCGCCGCCAAGACGCACGCCGGCCGCGTGGGGCGAGGCTGTTGCTCGGAGATGCACCTGCGTTTCTTTTCGCCTATTCCTTATCTTCGCTGTTGTCGCCCATGCCACTCTTCGCTGATCTCTCCTCTTCGCTACTTCGTTCAGGGTCACATGTGCCGCAGGCCTTCTGTTGGAAAACCACCCAATCCATGAATGTATACTTGGAATACCCGGTCGCGCGCATCGATAAGTCGCCTTGTGGGGCAGAGCAGCCTCCCTCCTTCCCTCCTTCCCTCCTTCCCTTCGTCCCTCCTTCCCTCCTCTCCTCCTTTCCCTCCTGCCCTCCCTCCCTCCCTTCCTCCCTCCATCGCCCTCCCTCCCTCCCCTGCTCCGCTGCTCCCTCCTCCCCTCACTCGCGGGGAGCACGCGGCCGCCCCACCGAGCTCCCTGCCGGCCCCCCCTCTGCCACCACCCTTGGCTGCTCTGGCGCGTCGGTCCTCCTTTCTCGCTGCCCGGCTGCCTCGCCTCTCCCCCCCTTTGGGCGTGTGCCCGGAGGCGGGCGGCGCGCCGTCCTGGGCGGGCGACGTGCGGAGCCCGAGCGCGTTTGCGGTGGGAAATCGAATCACCGGAGGGTTCCAGCAGGGTTTTTGTTGGGGGGAGGGGGTCTTCCAGAGAGCCCCTCAGGGGGCCTCGGAACCTCGTCAAAACAGGGGGTGCGAAGCCCCTGGGGGCACTCCCCCTGGAAGACCCCCTCCCCAAAAACTCCCTTTGAAACCCCCGGCAACAAAAACCCTGCTCCCTCCACCCCACTGAGGGTCTCCCAAGTGGGGTCCGAGCAGGTGGGGTCGGAGGATCTTGGCGTACATCGCCGATGCATTTGCTAGGCGTATCGATGTGGGGCCCGATGTTCATCACAGCGACGTCGCTGGTTCATCTCCGGCGTCGCCGATGCATCGCTGATGCATCGGCGGTTCCTGATGCATCGGCGGTGCATCGGCGATGCGGCGTGGTCCTCCGACCCCATTCATTCATACCCCACTTGGGAAGCTTTTTATATGCTACCCTCCCCCCCCGTCCATCCTCCTGCGCCCCCGCCGCATGCGACGATGCCGCATCGCCGAAGCGGTCAGGACGTAAACGTGGGTAGGGGCCGGTTTTCAGTAAGCGCTCACCGAACGGGTGGTAGACCCTTGCCCTTCACGCGCTGCACCTCCGCTTCGAGGCTTACCCATCGGCGAAGCCGCATTGGCCTGCGCATCATCCCCTCCTTTTCCTCCCCCCGCCTGCCCCCATACACCCCGTCCTCCTTGGCTTGCCCCATCTTTTTTTTCGGTACCCAGTCTTCCTGTTCTCGAACGGTGGCGAAGCGTCCTGGATTGCCAATAAGCCGGCCCACTGAATAACCTTTTGTGGTCTGCACGACATGTACGTTTTTGGTTGAGTCTGTGTGGTTTTAACACATCGGGTTTCTGTTCTAAGAGCATTGTTTTTGTCCTTAGGGCACTTTTGGGTTCCAAGAATATTTTGTGGTAGGCCTATAGGGATGCCGGGACGGTCGGTCCCTGCTCAGTGTTCTCTTCCCCGCCAGCCTCCCCTCCCTATCCTGGCGATTGGGGTGTCACCCGGCCCGCCCCCTCCCGCGGGCACAGCGCGAGCGCCGCGTGCTCTCTCGCCCACACGGCCGAGCGAGCCTGGTCGGCCCGGGGGTGCTCCCTGGCGTGCTTCGGTTTCACGTGCCCAGGGCGATCGAATCCGCGCCTTCCTCCCCTTTTCCCGGATGCAACTCCTGGGAGACCAAATTCTGACTTTGCCCTGGTCCGAACTCCCGTTGAATCCGGCTTAATCTCTCTCAATCCGGCTTCATCCCGTTTAATCCAGCTCAATCCGGTTCAAGTCCGCTTTGTCCGAGGCCCACTCCGGCGTAGCAGCCCCCCTTCTTTGATCTTGCCGACGAAGACCTCCCAGTAGTGGCCTCCTAACCTTTTCTTGTTCCCCGAATGGTTTTCATACGTTGTGGGTTTGGCTCGTATCGGTCCACTGGGCCCAGGCCCCCCCTGCCCTTAGCAGACTGACGAAAGGCGGGTGGATCGGCAATTTCGTTTAATCGATGGTTGGGATGTATTGCCATCGGCCCGCAAGGTAACAGAAACAGTCAAAACCGTGACATCAGTCACAGTTTTGGTCTTGAAGGGACTCGCTGTTTCTGAGGTTTTTGGCCTTGCCATGGTTGGTCCTCGGTCGTTCTTCGTGCACCCAGGCGGTTTGGGGGAAAAAGCAAAAGCTTCGCTCCCTATGTTTTCAGCTCCGGTAGGAGCCAGCGGCGCAGAGAGACTGAGTTGCTATTGGGCCACTGGTCACAGAGTAAATGGGCAGCCGTGGTCGAACCGTACTGCCGCACTGGCCGTTTTTGTGCTCGTTTCCAAAGTTCATGCGCCGCTTGGTGCGCGTAGGTTTATTTTTCCTCTTTGCCTGTTCCCTACTCAGCGTTCCTTGTGATAACAGGCTGGCTGCAGCCCCATGATGCATGTGCGATGCTGCAGTAACCCTCTAGCCCCAGGTCTCGCTCTCACCAGACCACTCCGCATCTCGCACATTTCTTATCATTGCGGGGCGCCCCCTTGGAAGACAAGCGTCCCCTGGGCGCGCCATTCGAGCCATCGGCTCGCTTCGAAACCTGTTCCGCATTCCACCCGTCTTAGTTGTCAGGGGTGCAGCGGGGGGGGATTTGCAAGACAAGGGTGTGTCCGGCTGGTGCGGTCTGCGGAGGCGCTGTCCGCGCCGCCGCCGCAGTGGTGTTCGGCGTGTTCGGATCCAGCTGGCGCCTCGACCCGGCGGCCGTCGCGGCCATCGCGGCCATCGCGCCGCTGTGGCAGCTGGCGAAGGCGCCACGGCGCGGGCGCTTCCCTTCCGGGCCGTGGTGGGCCGCGCAGGGCGCCATCGCCGCAGGGCGCGGCCGCGGCGCGCAGCATGGCAGAGCTGCAGCTCAGGCCTGACGTGGAATCCTGGAGCGGCGAGCCGTCGGCGCCGACGGGCTGGAGACCTGCTGACCGCCAGGCCACGCGGGCCGTGCAGACGGTCGCCGCCGGGCGCGCCGACTTCGCGCATGCGTATCGGCTAGGGCATCGACCGACGGGCTACGAAGCGCTTGCTGGAGAGCGACGAACTTTCCCCCGATGCCGCAAGCGCGCTCGGGGCTGTGCTTGCCGGCAACGTGGCCACTGAGTCGGCGGCGGCCAAGTGAGGGAAGTTTGCTCGGTGCCCGCAGTGCGGAGTTGACCGAGAGGATTGGCATCGCCGGTTCTGGGAGTGTCTTTGTTGGTCGGCCACGCGGCAGGCAACGCTCGCCGCCGGCGGGTACTCGGTCCTTGCCCTTCTGGCCCGCTTGCCGCATGGCGTCGCGAAGAGTCCTCCCGCAGGACGCCGTGCTGGCGGCGCTGGCCGCCGCCGCCAGTGCATCGCTGCCCGCCCCCGCGCTGCCAGCGTGCGTCGTGCCCCCGGACTCGCCGCAGCGTGTTTGCGCTGCGGCTGCTGGGCGCCGCGGTGGGAGCGCCTCGCGAGCCGCCCCAGCGGCGGGGCGCGTTCCGATCGTGCCGGCGAGGGCGGCCGGCTTGCTGCTGCCCCGTTGCGAGCCGCCTGGCCGAGCGCACCAGCGCACCTGCCTAATTGGTGCACGGCTGCGCGCGGTCGCTCGGGCGACCCAGAGCACGCCCGCGCTGCGCGCGGCCACAGGCCGCCTGGCGCCTCGGCGCCCGTGGCCCGCGTGTCCCTCGCCCTCCTCTCTTGGCGTTCGCGTTGTTGCTGAGACTCCTCCTCCTCCTCCTCCTCCTCCTTTTTCCCTATTCTCTCTGCCGCTGGGCTTCGCAGGAGTGCCAGGAAGTGTCCAGCGAGGGCCCCGTTTTGGGAGACGCGCCGCCCTCCACTCGGTGCGGCCGTCGCGCTGCATCACGATTCTGGGCGTCAGTTCGAGGAGGTTCCAGGCGAGAGGCCCGTGTTGACAATGCACTGCTCTCCGTCCGTTGAGCAGCCTGGAAGACGAATGTACGCGGCGCGAATGCAGGTTGAACTTCAGAGGCTTGCCGCGCGCCGCCCGTGTGACGAATGCAACGGTGCGTGGGGTCATGGCGAGAGCCTTCTGTTGAACACCGTCCACCTCCCCCCCCCCAGCGTTAGCGCTGGAAACTTTCAAGGCGAGTGCGCCCGGTTTGAAGTCGATCTCTCTCCATCAGTGCATAAAACTGATGTGTTTCATGCGAGTGTGCGCAGCGCCAAGGCGAGAGCCACCCCATGTTGAAAACCAACCGGTCGAACGCCGCAAGCTTTGAGGTCATGGATGGCGGGCAGTTTCAAGCGAAACGCTTAGACTCGCTGGGTGGTGCGAGGAGGGGGAGTTTTCTGCCAGTCGGAGGGATGGAGGAACAGGAGGGGATTGAGGATGATGAGGAGGAGGAGGAGCAGGAGGAGGAGGAGGAGGAGGACGAGCACCCTGACAAGGGGGGTGGAGGGAGATGGGGAGGGCGACGGGGTGTCGGGGGGAGGGCGGGGTCCAGCGGGGGTGATGTATTGGAGGAGAGGGGCGGGAGAGGCAGAGCTTGCGTTTGATGATGAGGATAGAGACGAAGATGGGCATCGTGATGCTTAGGGGAAGACGGATGAACGGGGATGAGGATGATGAGAACGATGATGAGGCTGATGCTCATGAGGATTATAATCAGGATGCGAAGTGGATATGGTCATGCTGGACATGGTTATGATAAATATTACGGTTATGCTGATGGTGATGGTGATGATGAGGATGAGGATGTTGATGATGTTGATGATGATGATGATGATGATAGTTGTGGTGTCGGTGACGATGATGATGCTGATGATGATGATGATGCTGATGATGATGATGATGATGATGATGATGATGATGATGATGTTGATGCTGATGATGATGCTGATGCTCATGATGCGGATTCTAATGTTTTGAATTTTCGGGAGGAGGAGGAGGAGGAGGAGGTGGGAGAGGATGAAGAGGATGATGAGGAGGAGGAGAGGGGTGACGATGCTGATGATTGTGATGATGAGGAAGAAGAGCAGGAACGGGAAGAGGAGGGGGAGGCGGAGGAGGAGGAGGGGAATGTGAAGGCGGATTGGCAGGCCAAGTCATAGTAGGTGCTCATGTTTGTATCTTTGGGATTCTGTGTGTGGTTGTGTGTTTTCGTTGTGCGCGTCCCGCGAATTGTTACATCCGTCATTCCTCCCCTTGGCTCCCGCTGTCTCAAATCGCGCTGTCTCAAATCGCTGGTCACCGTGCTCTCCGACCGCGCACCCGCCTGTCTGAGCCCGCGGCGTTGATTGACCATTTGCTCCTGATCACAGCGCTCCCTGCCCTCTGGCCGCTGGCAACCTGAGTATCCTCCTCCTCCTCGTCGCTCTCTACATCCTCCTTGATGCCGAGGGCTATCTCGTCTATCCGAATGAAACTCTAGTGCATATTCCTCCCCGCTCATTTCTCCCCCACTTCATCATCCGCCTCTGACCTTTCTGACCCTGGCCTGCCGTTTTCGGGCCTCCTCCTTCGTCTCCCCTTCTCACATCTTCGTCTGATCTATCTGATCCCCGTCTTCCCTCTTTCAGGGGCCTCCGATTTCGGCTGCGTTGAAGAGGGGGGCGTGGACTAAAGGGGGTGGGAGATGTCATGGCCTTTCTTCTTTTACCATGCCCCCTGGCCCCCCCTTGTCCGCGCACAAGCTTCGGGCCATGATGCGCGAACTCACCCTTTTCCTGCTCCCCCTCTTCGGCGCACCTGACGAGTCTGGCTCCGCCCCAGTGGCTGGACAACCCCTGGGAGCTGCAAGACCTTGTGGCGCGCACCTGCTACGTGGCCTGCGACATCTCGGCGCAGGGCGACGACGACGAGGATGGCACTCTGGAGTGCTCTGATTGCTCTGACGCTGTGACCGCGTATGCGATACCCCTCCGCCCTCATCAGTTATGCACTATGAATGCTGCTCTCCTCTCTCGCCTGGCTCCGTCCGGAAGGTGGCCAGCCCTCTCCGCGCAGGTGTGGCCGGCCTTCTCCGCGCACGGCATCTGTTCATATATGATTTCAAGCATGTGTTGTTTCTCATATTTCGGGACCTCGGGGGTTAAGTTCGGTCCATTGGCGCATCGAACCGCAGAAAAACGATGCAAAACGAGGTCTCCGGCCGCCGCCGAAACCCGAGAGGCGTCGACAATCGGGGCGCGCGGGGGGCATCGTTTTTCGGAGGTTCGATGCACCAGCGTATCGAACTTCCCCCCCCCCTTCAGGGTCCCCCCCCCCCCTTTTGGTGGACCCCGAATATCGTTTCAGCCCGAATGTTTTCGGTGCTTCGAGACGTTGCTCCCGCTGCAGCGTGAGCCTCACGGGCGGGTCGCCGCTGGGCTCCCCGTCGTTCAGACGTTGGCGCTCTCGCACCCGCGCGGGCCACTCTTTTTCTGGATCCGGGTCCTTTTCCACCGCTGTGACCCTCTGACGTCTCCTCCTGCGCCTTCCCAGTGGTCCTCCCGGCCCTTTCAAGGCCAACTCCTGCTGCCTCGCTTTCTTCCGGCTCATCCTGGGGCCCTCTTTGTAGTACCAGGTTTAGGTCGGGCCTGTCCTGGCTCTCGTCCCGTCCTCCTTCGCACCCACCCTGCCGTGCGCTCTCGCTTTCTCCCTTCGCGCCTCGCCCTTCCTTCGTCCCCTCCCTCCTCAGAAGGAGGGAGAAGACAGGAGAGAGAGTGACGAGGGAGGCAGAGGAGGGAGTCCGAGGGAGGAGGGCGGGAGTCGCTGGGAGCAGGCCGTGGGAGGAGGGGGGGAGGAGTCCTCCATCTCCGAGGGCGGCACAGCCCTCCCCCGGCCTGGTCGTCCGTGGGGGTCCTGGCCGGGGGTGGGGGTGGGGATCTGGGGAGCGGCAGAGCCATCTTCACCCCCAGGCAGGGCCCGTAGATCACCAGGTCTGGAGTGTGGGTCCTGGTTTGGGGGTGGGGGCGGATGTTGCTGTCGCCCTTCTTTCCTCCGCCTTCTCCCGGCAATGATCTTCGCGCCGCGGATCGACGAGCCCCTGCTGGGTGCAGAGCCCGGTGGCCTCTTGGGCGCTCCCGGGTCGTTCTTGAGGGCCTGCTGGAGATCTTGGGGGCAGTACTTCGGGGAACGGCTCCCGAGGCCCATTCGCTTCCCCCCCCCCTCAGGCAAGCCGCCTTGAGGCCCTATCTGAGCCCTCTTAGGCCGTCTTGGGACATTTGTTTGGGGCCTTTTTGAGTGTCTTTGAGCGCTTTGGGCGTTCAGAAGCCCGACAATTAACACCGACTTCTGTCAAACACACATTCGAAATCAACGAACATATGGCCTCGTGGAATCTTCTCGAGGGTCCGCTTCGGGCCTCCTTGGGGCGTGTTGGGGGCCACTTGGGCTGTCTGGGCGCCATCTTGGGCCGTCTTGGAATGCTGTGAGTGTCGTGGCCCTCGTGGACTGTCTAGGGGCAGTCTTGGGCCCCGCTTCGTCCATCTTGGGGCCCTCGGACCTCGGGAAGAGTCATATTGCACACCTCGGAAGCCACGCGAGAGGCCCCCTCCCTGGGGGCTCCTGGGACCTGGCAAAGCATTTGGAACATTCAGTGCAGGCAATACGTAGAAGTCGAATGGACTTGAGGGCACTCCTCTCAGTGCTTACGGCACCGTGTCGGCCACGTCCAGGCTCGCTGGTCACGCGCGGAGGACCCCGTGACCCTGCGGCTGAAGACGGACAAACCGGCCGTCTACGCCACCTCGGGCGGCGCCACGGTCACGGTTCCAGCGCTGGCGCGGTGGCAGGCGGCGGAGGCGACAGGGGTTGGGGTCAGTTGATGATGACGATGATGACGATATTTATGAGGATATGGTAATGATGATGATGTTGTTGCTAATAACGATGGTGATGTTGGTGCTGATGACGACGATGGTGATGTTGATGCTGGTGATGGTGATGTTGATGATGAGGATGAGGATGAGGATGATGATGATGATGACGATGATGATGATGCTGATGCTGATGCTGTTGCTGCCGATGATGGTGGTGATGGTGGTGGTGATGATGCTGACTATGTTTTTGGTGATGCTGGCGATGACGATGGTGATGATGATGATGATGATGATGATGGTGATGAGGTTGATGCCGACGATGATGGTGATGATGCTGATAGTGGTGAGGATTATGCTGCTGATGATGATGATGCTATCGAGATGATGGTGGTGAGGATTATGCTGCTGGTGATGATGCTGATCGAGATGATGACTATGATGCTTCTGATGATGATGCTGATCAGTATCAGCATGATGGCTGTACTGGTGATTCTGATGGTGATGGTGATGGTGATGGTGGAGATGAAGATAACCATGTTTATGGTGATGACGATGGTGACGCTGATGACGATGCTGATGGTGATGATGATGATGATGATGATGATGATGATGATGATAGCTATGATGATGACGCTGATGGTGATGATGACGATACTGATGGTGCTGATGATGATGCTGACGATGATGCTAATCATGGTAATGATGATGCTGATGATGATGCTTATCATGATAATGCTGATGATGATGATGATGATGATGATGCTGCTGCTGATGATGATGATGCTGACGATGATGATGATGATGATGATGATGATGATGATGATGATGATGATGATGATGATGATGATGATGATGATGATGATGATGATGATGATGATGATGATGATGATGATGATGATGATGATGATGATGATGATGATGATGATGATGCTCCTGCTGCTGCTGCTGATGATGATGATGATGATGATGATGATGATGATGATGATGATGATGATGATGATGATGATGATGATGATGATGATGATGATGATGATGATGATGATGATGATGATGATGATGATGATGACGAGGCGGAGGCGGAGGAGGACCTCCAGAGTAAGCCCGAGATGCATCAGGAGTCCTCCGTATTGAGGACTCGCTCTCCATCCTCGGACACTTGCCATTGTCAACATCTCAATGCGGGCGGTGTTCCATTGCTGGGCTGGTGCCCGGGGCCGACCACTAGGCCTACCGTCGGGGGTGGAAAAGAGGGGGGTGATGACTAGGGGGGGTGGATATCATGACGGGGGCTATGATATTTCCCCAGATTTCATGGCGCCTCTTCTTATTTCATTACGTCCCTGGCCCCCCCCGCTGGGCCGCGCACATGCCGCCGGTCATGATTTGCACACCCCCCTCTTGGACACCCCTCTCTTGGCCGCTCCCGATACCAGCGTCTGAAGGTCGCCGTCGAGAGTTGCCACCCGCAGTGCTTGGTGCTCGGCTTGGCGGCTCCGAAGAACGCGCGAAGTTAGAACGACAGGAAATAGTCTTAAGTCGGGCACGTCTCTCTACAGGATGAGTAGTTTGAATAGACGAAATAGTCTGGGAACGTTTTTTCGACTATTGTGTGACTTTGTTTGGATATGTCTTGATTTGTTCATTTGTCGTCCAAAATCCGCCTGTAGGGGGACATGCCCGACCTCAGAATAGTCATTGGTCGGCTTGATCTGGCACGCCCCGAACGCCAGCTCTTTTTTTGTGATGTTTGGCCAGGTGCTCGCTTCTGCGTGCAGGGGCAGAGCTGGGACCAGCGCAGCATCTGCTTTGGAAACGGCTGCAAGCTTTTCGGACGACCGTGCGCGGATTGTGTCACAGTTTGCCTCAGGTTTGCCAGACCGGCATCGCCTCGCCTCGCCTCGCCTCGCCCTGGCGGCGCGCCGCGTCGGGAGCCCCAGGACGGCGCAGCGGACCCGCCTCGGGGTAAGTCAGACGGGGGTTCGGGGGGAGCGCCCCGTTTCGGGACCTGGGTCGTTTCCCTGCGGGCGAGCGGGGTCGGGGGAGCAAAAGGCACGCATACCTCTATCCTTCGCCCGTTTTCCCTTTTTGGGGCCTCCTGGGAGGCCCTCGTCGCCGCCGATGGATCCGCCCCGAAATTCTGGCCAGAACGCACCCCAGCAGAGGTCCAGGGAGTAGCAGTATCGGTACTTCTGGTTTCCCCTATGGAGCCTTCAGGGGACCACGACCGTGCAGTGATGGACCACTCGGTGAGGTCTTTTAGAGTTGAGCTTCGAGGCCACCACACGGCCTACCACCGCACCGTTCTTGAGATTCCCAGTGGGGTGGTTCCAGGAGTGTGTCTTCCTAGAACAGGAAGCCTCTTAGAATTCCGTTTGTTTTCTAAGAGGTATTATCGTGCGTGAGCCTCCGATCCATTCCAAGAAGACCCTGACCTCTCAATCGGCCGCTCACCCCGTGCCCCCCTCCGCGCGGCGCCAACGCTGGAGGTTTCTTCAGGGCCCGGCAGTTTTAGGGAGGGCTTCCAGGGACATGTTGGAAGCATCTTATGGCTATTTGGGGGTATCTTGAGGCTGCTCGGGGGGGCCTTAGAGCTTAGAGCCTTCTCGGTCCATCTTGGGGACTCGACGCATCCTGGGGTGGTGTTGAAATCCGTCGGGGGACATACGAGCAGATTATGCGGGGAACTTCCATGCTAGAACGCCAGTTTTGAGTTCGTCCCCAGTCAAGACTCAGCAGTCAGTACTCGTCAGGACTCAACAGTCAGGTTGATTCGAGAAGTTGAAGTCCCGCGAGTGGTCCTGCTGTGCCACGCTTCAGAATCTTCAAACAGTTGTCTCCCAACGGGGCACTTCCCTTAGTGGAAATGAATACCTGTAGGGGCTTGTGAAGGGGGAGCTTTGGGGAGGGCTTATTCCAACACCGTTGATGAGTTTTGCGTTCACACAGGTCCTCCACGTCAACCCTCTCCTCCTCCTTCTCCTCGTCCTCCTCGTTCTCCTCGTCCTCGTCCTCCGCGTCCTCCGCGTCCTCCTCGTCCTCCTCGTCCTCCTCCTCCTCCTCCTCGTCCTCCTCCTCGCTTCCTCCTCCTTCTCCTCCTCCTCCTCCTCCTCCCCCGGGCCCTCGCCCTTCGTGCCCCCCTCCTCCTCCTCCGCCTCCTCCTCCTCTTCCTCCTCCTCCTCCTTTTCCTCCTCCTCCTCCTCGGTCCGCGCTCGCCCCCTCGCCGCCCCGCCCTCGGGGCAGGTGCTCTTCAGGGAGGACGCCGCGGACGCCGACGCGGGGGAGGAGGGACCAGGGGACAGTGCTCTGCCCCCGGTCCGCGGGGAGGAGGGGGAAGGGAGCAGGGGGGCGTGGGGGGGGAGTTAGATGAGCAGCAGGAGGAGGAGGAGGAGGAGGAGGAGGAGGAAGAGGAGGAGGAGGAGAGGGAGGAGGAGGAGGAGGAGGAGGAGGAGTGAGGAGGAGGAGGAGGAGGAGGGAGGTGTCGGAGGAGTAGGAGGAAAGGCCTCCCCCCCACCCACCCGCGCCCCGCGACCGACAGCCCTTCCCTTCCGCCCCACGTCCCGACGTGGCTGCTCGACTTCCCAAGATCGTCCAAAGACGGCTCATCGAGTTCCCAACGGCTGCGCGATCGCCCCGAGAGGCTCCGAGAAGCTTTGGGAGACGCCCAACACAGGCCTCCAGCGAGGCCCCCAGAGGCGAGGGGCGCTCGATCCCCTCCGCGTGCTCGTTACACCACTCCGCCCCCGTGTGTCCAGGCAAGGCCGTCTCCCCTGCCTGTTTTGTCGCCTGCTGGAGCATGGGTGGGGACAGGAGGGCAGGGCAGGAGCCTCATGACCAGGATAATTGTGAGGAGGGGGAGGACGAGGAAGAGCGAGGAATACCTCTTGGGAAGGCCCAAGTGCCCCTTGCTTGCGAATGATGTCCCGCAGAAACAGCGCGCGCACGGCACCTTCCCTCGATGATGCTGTCCAGGGCATGCTTGATTCCGCTCATTCCGCTACATGCTCAGGAGAGTTTGATCTTTACGCCGGTTTACGTGCCATCGTGGGTTTGCAGCCAGCCACATGTTCGTGGGAGCGACGCGATGTGGGTTGGCACCGCCTAGCGTCTACATGCCCACGCCGGTTCGCAGTTGGTCCCATGTTAGTGAGGGCGAGGTCATGTAGGTTTTGCACCACCTATCTTGCCCCACTTAAAGTACGTCTGGCAATTCGAGCGGACGTCGCAGGCGAAACCGCGCCCAACCCAGGTCAAAACAGGGGCCAAGCCAAACTACTTCTGAGGATGTCTCAGGCGGGGCGCCCTGCCAAACCCAGCCAGACCAGGCCAAGCCAGGGGACAAACCAGGCGAACTCCGAAACTTGTCTCCATCCGTTCTGTTCAAAAAGATCAACCTGGTAAAGCTGTGGATTACCCAAGGGGTGGGGGCCTTGAATTCTAGGGCATTTCTAGGGGTCAAGAGGTGGTTAGGGCGCAACAGCAGGCATGTGGCTCGGGCGCAACCGTATGCAATTGTCTTTCAGTTGTTGTTGTGGGCTCGGTGTGGCGTTCGGAGACCCATTTCCGAGCCTGCAGTTGCCGAGCCACGAGGTCGAGGAGAAGGAACACGAGACAGGGGGCGGATGAGGAGGATAATGAAGATGATGGTGGCTGTGATGATGATGGTGATGATGTTAATGGTGGCGACGACAGTTGTGATGCTATTGATACTGATGTTGACGATGATGGTGATGATGGTAATGGCGATGCTGATCCTGCTGCTGCTGCAGGTGATGATTATGATGAAGATGATGCTGATGCTGATTATGCTGATGATGATGCTGCTGATATTGATGATGATGAGGATGAGGATAATGATGCGGATTATGATGATGCTGATGATGACGATGATGATGATGTTGATGCTGATGATGGTGATTATGCTGTTGGTCATGCTGTTGATGATGATGATGACGATGATGGTGATACTGACGCCGATGCTGATGGTGCTGCTGACACTGATACTGACGAGATTGGTGATGCTGACGTTGACACGAATGTTGACACTGATATTGACGACGATGATGCTGATGATGTTGATTATGATGATGCTGATGATTATGCTGCTCATGATGATTATGCTGCTGCTGGTGATGATGATGATGGTCATGATGAGCTGATGCTGCTAATGATGATGATGCTGATGACGATGATGCTGATGACGACTATGATGATGCTGTCGAGAAGAATGTGGCCGCATATGATGGTGATGCCGATCGTGGTGATGATGATATTGCTGCTGCTGCGGCTGATGATGATGCAGATAATGCTGGTGTTGATGATGATGGTGCTTATGATGATAACGACGATGCTGACTAGGCGACCGGGGAGGAAGAGGATGCTTGTGGTGGCTATGCTGATGCTGCCGATGATGCGGATGCTACCGACAACGATCGTGATAGGGATGGCTATGATGGACCTTGTTATGCTGCCCATGGTTATGATGCTTACATTGGTGAACATGTTGATTGTGATGTGAGGGGGGTGAGCATGGAGATGAACAGGAAGTTAACGCTGGGGAGGAGGAGAGACGAGCGAGGATCAGTGATAAAGAAGTGAGGAAGAGCAAGGCAGGGGGAGAGGAGGAGGTGGGGGGGGGAAGAGGAGGAGGAGGAGGAGGAGGAGGAGGAGGAGGAGGAGGAGGAGCAGGGTGAGGAGGAAGAGCATGAGGATGAGGAGGAGGACGAGGAGGAGAAGGAGGGTGATGAGAAGCGAGGATGAGAGACGTCGGAGGACAGTGGGTGGGTGGGGAGCCGGATCGAGGATGAATTCGCGAGGAAATCGCGGAGGGGGCAGGCGGAGGAGCAGGGGAGGACCACGAGGAGGGAGGTCGCAGAGGAGGACGCCGACAGCGGCGACTTCTCGAACTGCGCCAGCGTGCCTGAGGCCCGCCATGGCCGATGCCCGTCCACGGGCACCTCGTTGTCGTGGTCACCGTTCACTTCCTCGTCCTGCTGGAGGAGGAGGAGGAGGAGGAGGAGGGAGGAGGGGGGAGGAAGGAGGAGGAGGAGGAGGAGGAGGAGGAGGAGGAGGACAATGACAAGGAGGCGCAGGGGGACGAGCAGCAGCAGCAGCAGGAGGAGGAGTAGGAGGAGAAGGAGGTGCAGAAGAGGCTATCCTGCTTCTCTTCGCCTCCCCTGCCCCTTCACCTCATCCCCCCATCCCGCCCCGGTGTCCCCCGTCGCCCCTTCCTCCTCTTCCTCCACCTCCTCAATGTCCTTCCCCCCCGTGCATGACCCCCCCCATTCTCGTTTTCCTCCCGTTCGCCTCCTCCTTCACCTCTTCCTGTTTCTGCTCCTCCCGCTTCTCCTGCTCCTATTGCTCCCGTCTTCCGCCTTTCCGCCTTATCCATATTTTTTGTTGCCTCCCTCCCTCCTCGTCCTCCTTTCAGTACGTCTATGAGATCCAGACTGGGGGGCGCCCAGCTCAACTCTATCCAGTTCAGGGTACTCCTGCTCTCCCAGAAGCTCGCCCTCCTCGCGCTCCTCCTCCTGGTTACCCTTCACGTCACATTCCCCTGCTGGGCTCGTCCTCGTCCTGCTGCTGCTGCTCCTCGTCCCTGCCTCGTTCTGTACGCATCTGTCAGCATATCCTGAGGCGTTAGAAGCAAACAGTTCTTAGGCCCCAGCGCGAACCTTGGCTTTGGGGCTTTGGCCTTTGCTCTGCTGACGCAGAGTCTCTTCTCCCCCTCCTCCCTCGGATGCTCCTCGGATTTCTCGTTCTCTCGGCGTTGATGTCAGGCATGGTTTCGCCGCTTTAGCTGCTCCTGCTGCTGGTCCTCGTCCGAGTCCTGCGCCGTAGGCAGACCGGGCAAAGCCAGCCAAACGAGATCGACCAGCCAAATCACCAGACTAGGGAGACCAGGTAGAGTAGCCCATTGACCAACAAACCAAGACTGACCAACCAGCTAGAAAAGACCAGGCAGACCAGACCGGGAAAGCCAGATTAACTCCTCGACCGACCAGACCAGACCAGACCAAGGCCAGCCAAACGAACCAGACATACTGACACAACCGAGCCAGCTAGACCAGAGGAAGGACCTGCGCGACCACACCGATGGGACTAACAAACCGGACCAATCAGACCAACCGGACTAATCATACCAACAAGACAAGCCGGACTCAACTGTCGTACCGACCGGACCAACCAAACCGACTGGACTAACCGGATTCATTTTCTGCATGCGAGTATGTATCCAGTATCGCCATTGTCATTTCGTAGTTGATTCCGGCTATATCTAAGTCTGCTGCAAAGGCCACCACGGTGGGACTTATGAGGCCCAGGATTGGCCCACGTAGCTCCACTGCAAGCGCTAACAAGAGCAGCCAGGCAAGCCAGACGAACCCGACCAAAGACACACACACACACACCACTCGCACGAGACCAGCCAAACCAACCAAACGCCTCGTATCAGCCATCCAACTCCGGCCAGACTTCCAGCATATCGGGCAGCCGAGCATCCTGGCTTGTAGACGTCGTTTAACCCCCCCGCTGTTGCAATCCCCTGAATTTCAACAGGGAGCCCAAATAGATGGCTCAACTTGGCCCTCACATGGCTCGAAGATGGGACCAAGATGGGGGACCCGAACAGAGATTTCGAGCCCGCCGCTCCCAGAGGGCCCCCGATGTCGCCAGCAGGTCCGCAAGAGACCCGCAAGAGGCCCCAAGAGGGCCAGAAGACGCCGCCCCATGAGGCCTCCAAACGGGCCCTCATGATGCCCCAAGAGGCTGTAAATTGTCTCCAAGAGGCTTCCTGGAGGCTCCACCCCGACACGCATCCAAGAAGCCTCTGACCCAATCTGGACAAGGAGGCGGGACGGGCCGAAGCTCACTTTCACAAAAATGCACTGTAACGATCGAATCCAACACAGCTTGCAATGCAACAAACAACTGTTGTGGTGTCGTCGTGTTTGCTGCTGCGCGTTTCGAACCTCCCTGAACCTCCTCAAACCGCATTCGGCTTGCACGCAGGCTCGTAATCATAACCTCAGGTTCTATTTGCGAAATAGCAGCACTCTGAATCTGAAGCTCAAGGCTGAAGCTTCTAGCTTGCCGGTTTGAAGCTTGGCGTCGCGCCGTGCGCTACACTGCAAAGAACATATTGACATGCACACGCAGGCACGCACACGCAGGCAGGCACACGTTTACCGGTCGCGGCCTCCCGCGCAGCGACGAGGCGAAGCAAAACACACAGGTCGGAAAACAGAGAAGCGCGTGCGTCGAAGCCCGCACACACATTGTCTCAGGCACGCACGCACGAAGCATATATATATACATATATGTACATGCATGTGTATAAGCATGCGGACATTTCTATATGCATACATCTGTATAACTTCACCTGGGCGCACCACCAGGCGTGTCGTTAGGGCGGTCTGGGCGTTTCGCGGGATCGTTCCGCGCCGTATGCGATACTGGAAGCGATGGTCTGGCGTTCCGGCTTGCCCGTTCTTTCCCGAGGAGTGTCCCTGCTCCGCCACCTGCTTCCATAGAGAGGAGGGGGAGAGGGAGTTTGCGACATTGCGCCGTGTTTAATTCAACAGCTTCACGGACTGGCGGCAGGTGGTTTTCAACATTGTGTTCTCGCTTTGGTTCCGCGCGCACTTCATGAAAGTAACGAGCAGCTACGGAGGTCGAAGTGTTCTCACAATGGGGTTTTTGTGCAGGAGCCGCCCATACTCGTCTTACACAAGTCCAGCAGTTACGCGGATGTAGTGTGAACGATCCTCAACATTGGGGTTGTCGCGTCGGTGCCACACACTCCTGTCACGGTCCCTTGTCATCATTGGGTTCTCGCCTTGGCGCTGTGGGAAGTCGTCGCAACACAAAAACATCAGTTACACGGATGGAGTTGTGTGTTTTTGTTCTGTGCAATATTTTGCACATTGAATATTTTGTGAGGCGCGTTCAGCGTGTGTTTGTGCACACGTAAGTTTTCAATTGTTGCATAGACAGGGGAGATGTTTTTAAACATTGCGGCTCTCGCTGAAGACACCATGTGGTATTCTGGGGCATTGCGATTCCTGTGGCTATCTGTGTCGGTTTCGTATCTGTGTTTTCCCAGTGTTTGGTGACCTTGAACATCTATGATTCCGTTGTTGTGTTTCCGTGTTTGCGGGGGGAATGGCGAAATGTTTGATTGGTGATCGTTCTTGTTTGGTTGTGTGTTTGACCTGACCTTTTCCCGTCGTGCCGTTTCGTTTCGAATTATCTGTATGTATTTGTGTATGTATGCATGTGCGTGTATATGAATGTGTATATATGAATGTGTGTATATATATATATGTGTGTGTATGGCTGTATGTATGGACGTACTTCTGTATGTATGTATGTATGCATGTATGGTCCAGGGTTTGGGCCCTTCTCCCAATGCTGATGCCATTGCCCCCCCCCCCGCGCGATGGTCCCCCCCGCCCCCCCCTGTGGGCGTGGCGTGGTGCTGCGCTGCGGTTCCCCCCCCCCCTGTGGATGTGGTGTGGTGCTGTGGTGGTTCAGAGGTGGGCTTGGCGTGGTGTTGCACTGCGGTGCCCCCCTCCCCTCCCCCCTGTGGATGTGGTGTGGTGCTGTGGTGGTTCAGAGGTCGTCGTCGTCGTCGTCTTCGTCGTCCTCGTCGTCCTCGTTGTCCTCGTCGTCCTCGTCGTCCTCGTCGTCCTCGTCGTCCTCGTCGTCGTCGTCGTCATCGTCGTCGTCGTCATCGTCGTCGTCGTCGTCATCGTCGTCGTCGCCGTCGTCGCCGTCGTCATCGTCGTCGTCGCCGCCGCCGGCGTCGTCGCCGCCGCAGCCGTCGTTGTCGTCGTCGTGGTCGTCGTCGTCGTCGTCGTCGCCGTCGTCGCCGTCGTCGTCGCCGTCGTCGTCGTCGTCGTCGTCTCTGGGACCATACCATCTGGGGGAGGGGGGGGCCGAGGAATCCTGGGACCATACCATCTGGGGGGGGGGGGGCCGTGAGCCCTCGACCCTGGATCATGTATGTATGTATGCACACCTATGTAATGCCACGAGTCTTCGAATAGCACCAGGCGCTCCGACTATTTCAAGCCGTTCGCAGTGAAACAACATGCGAACGGACATGCTTGAACACGCTGTGGACGGGAGGGTATATTGCAACATCGTTGGTACATTTTGGGTTTACTCTCTTCCTATCTCCGCCTATCGCACACACTGGGCGGCCAACGACCGCCCTGCCTATCCTGGCCACAGGATTTTCGCCACGCAAATCTATACACACGCGCCCTCCAATGGATTGTCCCTGGGCTCAGGGGAGGGTCGCAGTGTACAAGTCACCACTGGGAGCCCGCGAAATTATACACCCCCGCTCTCCCCGAAGGAACATACAGAAGTCGTCGCAGGGCGTCCGTGTAGATGCTTTCGTTGCGTAGGGTCGGCCGAGCGAACTGGCGAGCCGACCGCTGATGGGTATGTTTTTCACCACAACCACCATAAGTTGGAGGGGGGAAGGAGGTGGAGGAGGAGGAGGAGGACGAGGAGGAGGAGGAGGAGGTGGATGTGGAGGAGGAGGAGGAGGAGGAGGAGGAGGAGGAGGAGGAGGAGGAGGAGGACCCCCTCCCCCTCCAACTTACGGTGGTGGTGGTTGTGGAAAACAAGCCCATCAGACCGCGATTGCGACTGCGACGGCCGCCCAGGGCCCTCCCCCCCCCCCGCCTGCCTCCTGCCAGCTAGTGTGGCCGTGCGAGCGCCAGCAACCGGCGCCACCCGCAGAGGGTGCGGAGACAGCCGCGCGTCTCTAGGCCTCCTGGACGGGGTCCCGTGTGCCGGAGGGTTCCAAAGGAGTTTTTGGGGAGGGGGGTTTCCAGAGAGCCCCCCAGGGGCCTCGGAACATGGGGTGCGAAGCCCTTGGGGGACCCCTCCTGGGAAACCCCCGCCCCAAGAATCTCCTTAGGAACCCTCCGGGTGTGGACGGGGTCGGAGGTCCGCGCCGCATCGGCGATACGTCGACCGTGCGGCTCGATGTGGAGCCCGTGTGTCTCCACGCTGATGGCGCCGATGCATCGCTGATATATCGCCGACGCGATCCTCCGACCCCATCTACTCCGACCCCATCTAGGAGGCCTCGAGCGTCGCGCATCGCTGGGCGCGGTGCGCGGAGTTTGGTGACCTGGGCAGTTCTATATTCAGAGGAGGACAAGGTAATTACCGATACAGCTGCCCTCGCCCCCTTTCGCCCTTCTTGGGGCCTCCTGGGAGGCTCTCCTCGCCACGGCTGGATTACCGATTAGCTTTGAAATGCTGTTCAGAACGCTTCCCGGGAGAGGTCTGGGGCGGTATCGGTGATTTTGTGGTCTCCCCAGGGATCACCGCGCGTCGCGCATCGCTGGGCGCGAGGCGCGGAGCTTGGTGACCTGGGCAGTTCTGTTCGCGCAGGTGCTGCACAGGCTGGCAGCCTCGGCGTTGCCGGTGCCTCCCAGAGTGGTGCCTCCCAAAGTGGTGCGTCCCAGTTGCCGCCTTCCCCTGGAAGCATGGTTTCAGTTTGGTGTGGGAGGTTCGTGTCGTATCGACGCGGCGGCGACCCCAGCGCGGGCGTTCAAGTTTAATCCACCGCCGGTTGCCCGGAGCCGGCCCCTGGCTATCGAACAATGTGAGGTCTCGGGAAGCCGCGATCGTTCGAGGTTGAACAATTTATGTCGGTGTCAGAATCCAACGCAGGAGTCATCACGACCCGAACCTGCCGTAGGCCTTGTGATCGGCACACCTGGGAACCCTTGGTTTTGGATCCCTGAGTGCTCGTGCTGGGCTTGCACTCTGGTGCCAGGCAGCCAGCGAGAGGCCCATGCTCGGCTGCAGTGGTTTTCCAGCGGTGTCGCGGTTGTTGCGCTCACGGTCCCCTGCAAGCAGCTGTGTATTTGCCACCACCCAGGTGGGAGGCGAAGCTGAGACGGTCGTGCTCTGCATGGTGCCCGCTCGTATCCGTATGCTCCTTTATGTGCGTTGAGTGCCTGGGCCCCCCCTGGCGCGCGAGAGGCCACGGTGCTGAGGTGCCTAAAGCATGGCCCTCACCCTTCACTGGCTCCTACCCCCCTCAGCCTGCACTCCGTCTTCTGCTCACCTGCCTCCCCTCCGCGCTCTGCCCTCTGCCGGCCTTTCCTGGGTGCGTTCTGCCCAGGGTCGAGGCGGATCTGGCCGCGGTGACGAGGACTTTCCAGGGCGAGCAGCGGCATCGGCTTTTGTTTTCCTCCGTCCCTCCTCCACCAACCATCCTGCCTCCCCCCCAAAAGGAGGAACATCTAGGGAGGAGGAGGAGGTGGAGGAGGAGGAGGAGGAGGATCGAACAGGATCGAGAATCGAGGCCCGACGAGGACGGAGGTTCGGGGGAGGAGGGAGGCTCGAGGATGGAGGCGTCGAACCGCCCTGGTCCCGCGCCGAGGCCTTCGCCCAGCTCCTCGAGCGGTGCCCCATCGACGTGCGCGCCGCGGGGGTGCAGAACATCGTGATCTGCGGCGGCTGCGCCGCGCTGCGGGGCCTGCTGCCGCGGCTCGCCGACGAGATGCAGGCGGAGCTGAGGCGGCTTGCCGTGCGGACCTCCCTCCCTACCTACCTCCCTCCCCCCCTCCTCCTCCTCCTCCTCCCCCCCTCCCTCCGCTCCTCCTCCTGCTCCTCCCTCCCTCCCCCCTCCTCCTCCTCATCCATCTCCTCCTCCTCCTCCCTCTCCCTCCTCCCTCCTCCCTCCTCTCTCCTCCCTCCTCCCTCCCCGTCCCCCTCCCACGCCTCTTCCTCCTCCTCCCTCCTCCTCCTTCTCCTCCTCTCCTCCTCCTCCTCCTCCCCTGCTGATCCTCCTCCTCCTCCTCCTCCTCCTCCTCCTCCTCTCCTCCTCCTCCTCCTCCTCCTCCCCCCCCTCCCCCAACATTTTTTGCCCAGAAGGTTAGATGGGCTTGTCGGCAGTGAAGTTCAGAGAACGGCATGGTTGTCGCGAGCTATCGGCTCTCCAGTCTGCACGATACCCTCTCGGCAGTTGCGATGGCACCTCTTCATTCGGGGTTCAGTGCGCCCTCTGGAGTGCAGGGTGGCGACGTGGATGTGCGGGTCGTGCGGCTGCAGGGGGGATCTCGCAACAGTTCTGGAATTCTCACCATTGTGAAGATCAGTGGACATCGAGTTCAGCACCAGTGACGGAAACGACCAGTAAGCGCTCGTTGAATTACTAGAATGGTTCACGTGGTGATGTATTTTCAGCTCTTCTGCCTCTCGGGCCTGTTTGGGTTGGATGGAAGTCACGGTTGCCCTCCCGACCAACGCGCTTGCTATTGTTACGGAGAGCCTCACCAGTGCGGGGTTGCAGGGGTTGTGCGTTTAGGCCAAGAATCAGGGCCAGCTGGTGTTATGTTAAACGTATGAACCTGTGCGACCTGCCCAGCTTGCACGCGAGAGGCTGCGGGTTGGGCCTCCCATTTCGCTGCACACCAAATCTGTCAAGCCCAGGGCCGAGTGGCCTGGCCTCCATATCTGGCCAGCACGAGACCATGCCATCGTGGAGGCGGAGGTCTGTACCTCTTGAGGCTCGGTCTCTGCGGTCGGAGGCCATGGGTGCAGTTCGGTTCTCGCGTCAGATTGCGCGGGCCACCGCTCGGCTGGACTCGAGAGGCAGTTGGCTTGGATGGTGCAAAGCCGCACCCCTAGCAAGGAAGGGTTCGTCATGTCTCGTGCCACCGTGCTGTCTGACAAAGCGCCGCACTATTTAGCGAACGAGATGGGCCTGGATGGCCCACTGTTGTTGGTCCCTCCCCGCCAGTGCATCTCTCTGTCCATTTCCTATGGCCGGGGTGGGAGGGGCGGGAAGGGGTTCGTCCTAGCGCGTGGCCCTTCTGTTGCACTTGTTGGAGCCACCTGCCGTGAGGAGGCTGAGTCTTCCGGGGTTCGGGCGCGGGAGCGCCGTTGGCAGGTTCTGCCGCCTTCCGAGGACGCGGAAACCTGACTCGGTTGAGTTTTGTTTGGTACTTGTGGTGGCGTCCCCCCCAGCCGTTGCCGTGTTCCTTCTGGAGAAGGTTTGGAGCACGAGAGAGTTTATCAGGCGAGTGGTCAGGAACAGGAATACAAGCGGTAGAACCAGACGGGCGAGTCGGGCGGGCAGGCCTTGACGGGCAGGGCGGGTTGGCGGGCCCAGACGGCCGGGTCGAGCGGGCGGGTCTTTGTAGCGTCAGTCTTGCATGAATCGCAAGGACTTCTCGAGCGACAGCGCGATTCCTGAGTGCCGAGGGCGCGGCGTTTCAGTAAATTGCCAAGAGGTTCCACGCGAGAGCGCGATTCCTGGGTAAGTTGTGAGGAAGTCCCGCGTGATCGCGAGATCGTGAATAAGGTGTCAGGAAGTATTGGGCGAAAGCCGTTGTTGCCGTAATTCGTTGCCAGGGGAGCAGTCTGAGGCTCAAGACTTCAACTTGCAAAAAACAGAATGCGAACCCCGGGGGGGCAGGGAGCACTTCAGTTCAGAAACACAATAGCGAACCAGCCAAAGGGGGGGATAAACAACAGTCCAAAGGCGGCAAAGCAACTCTATCGACGTGCTGCCGTCGCCCAGCTTGCCTGTCGTAGCTGGATCGGGCTCCGCGCCCTGTCTCCCCCGCGCCCGCAGGCGCAGACCCAGCACGAGGTCGCTGGCGGGCCGGCTCCGCTTCACGCCGCTGGACTTCCACCCGACGTGCGCCGTCTGGACCGCAACAGGGGCGGGCGCCCTCGCGGCAGAGGAGATCTGATCCGAGGCTGTGATCTCCGCCAGGCCCACCGTCTGGGCAACCGATCTGCCTGGTCCTCGGCTGGGGGTGGGCATGGCTATACACGGGCCCGTGGGGAGATCCCTATCCGGCGTGTCTGTAGGCCTACCAAACAGTTCTCTAAGCCCGTTTGTGGTCTCCTCGCAATGTTCTTAGAACATTTCTGGCTGACGCTGTCTTGTTTTAGCACGTCGGGCTTGTGCTCCAAGAACATCGATGTTGTTCTTAGAACATGTTTAGGGTTCTAAGAACTTTTCGTGGTAGGCTATAAAAGTGCCGGGATGGTCGGTCCCTGTTCAGGGGTAACCGATCTTATTGGTCCTCGGCTGGGGGTGGGCATGGCTATATACGGGCCCGTCGGGATATGTTATCCGCCGCCGTTTGGGGTCCTAGGATCTCTGTTCCCCCAGCGGTGGGCGTGGACAAATCTCTGCCCCACAGAGCAGGAGCATTGTGGAAGGAGTCATGGCGGATAAGACTGCTGGTCAGAAGGGGGGTAGGAATACAACGAGCATGATGATGTGGAGGCAGGGAAGGAGGGAGAAGGGTGCTGAAGCCGCATCGTACATCATATGTGCACCTTCGCAATTGGAGGATTGAGGACGGAGGAGGGGCATTGAGCCATGGTGGATGTTGCGAGCATTAGGATGATGATGACGACCATGGAAACAATGATGCGAATGATGATGGTGATCGTTGTTTCATTCATTGCGTTACCGATCGGCGCGGGCCCTTGCACCCCCCCTCACCCCCCCACCCGTGGAGTAGGTCTTGGCTATTCGGACGCCTGTCCCGAGCAGGTGGAGACTTCCCCATCATGGACACACTGTTGCAAACAGTCGCACTAAGCATAGGTCTGGCACCCTCCCCCACCCTCTCCCCTCCTGTCCGCCCAATGTCGGAACGCCGAATGAGACAACGCTCACATGATGATGATCATGATGATGATGATGACGATGATGATGATGATGATGCTGATGACGCTGATGCTGATGATGATGATCATCATCATGAACATGATCCTGGTGATGGCGATGCTGATGATTATGATGATGATGGTGGTGGTAGTGATGATGATGGTGGTGATGAGGTTGCTGATAAGGATGACGATGATGATGATGATGATGATGATGATGATGATGACGAGGGCTAGAAGGATGCTGAGGGATGCTGGGGATGCTGGGGATGGTGATGAGTGTGATGATGATATTGCTGATGATGGCGACGACGACGACGATGATGATGATGGCGATGATGATGATTGTGTTGGTTGTGGTGCTGCTGATGACAATGTCGATGGCCATGACCATGGCGCTGATGGTGATCAGGATGATGAGGCTGATATGCTGATGATGGTGATGATGAGGTTGTTGATGATGATGGTGCTGATGTTGATGTTGGTATCGATTGTGCTGATGGTGCTAATGATGGTGTTGATGATGGTGGTGACGATATCGCTGGATTATGATGATGCCGATAGTGGTGAGAACAAGGAAGGCGATGATCGGGCTGAGGATTATGCATGATGATGCTGATGCTGACGATGATGCTGATGCGGATGCGGATGCGGATGCGGATGCGGGTGGTGATGTTGATGTTGTTGTTGTTGCTGCAGATGATCAGGATGAGGATGATGATGAGGACGAGTATGAGGATGAGGATGAGGATCAGGATGATGACGATGTTGAGGATCAGGATGCTGCTGCTGCTGCTGATGATGATGATGATTATAGTGATGGTGATGATGATGATGACGACGATGAGACTTATGATGGGGATGGGGATGATCATGAGGATGAGTATGAGGATGATGATGATGATGATGATGATGATGATGGTGATTATGATGGTGATGATGATGATGCTGCTGATGATGATGATGCTGATGATGATGACGATGATGATGGTGGTGGTGGTGATGATGATGATGCGGATGATGCGGATGATGCTGATGATGCTGATGCTGATGATGAGGAGGAGAGGGAGAAGGAGGATGTGCCATGGGATGGGGTCAGGCGCCGACCCAAGACATCTTGGTGGGGGGGAGGCCGATCGACGACGGGGAAGGGCCAGGGACGAGGCATGGGTCTAGTCAGGAGGTCCAAGGGGGGGGGGGGGGTCGTGGCTACTGAAGCTTGGCTCCGCCTGCTGCGCCCGGACCTGGGAGACCGCAGTGCCGATCCGACGAGGGTTCGGGGGGAAGGAGGGCCGGAGGCTGTGGGGTGGGGGAGGGGCGCCCTCCCCTCCTCCGCCCATCCGCCGCCCCCCCTTTCCTCCCCCCTCCCCCTCTCCGCCCTCCCATCCCCAGCCCCAGCGCGCGCCTGCCTTTCGGGTGCAGTTGGGGGCTGGGCGCGTCGACCGACGGCCCTGGGCGCGCCACGCAGGGGATGCGCCCGCCTCGGGGGCTCTGCTCGGCACCCGGGGGAAGGGCGGCAGTCCACCCGGGCCCCGGCGACGTGGCGCATCCCCTTAAGAGAGAGCGTCAAGGGAGCGCGAGGTCCGCCGGAACCTCGGAGGCCTCCGGAGGCACCGGGAGACCCCCGCAGGCCAGTGCAGGCCCAACGATTGCCCAAAGCGTTCATGCCATTCGGTCGAGTCCTCGATCCTCGATGATCGACTATCCATCTTCCTCCACCTGATGCCTCGCGCTTATTCGTAAGTCGGACACGTCCCTCTACAGGGGGAAAATTCAAAAATAGTCAAGAATAGTCTGCAGACGATTTTTTGACTATGTTTGAACACTTTTGGACTATTTCTTCATTTTGTGCCCAAAGTCCGCCTGTAGGGTGACACGCCCGACCTAAGCTTATTCTCCCTCTTCCCTCCTCCTCCGCTTCCTCCTCCTCCTGCTCCTGCCCCTCTCCCGCCGCGGTGCGCGCAGGACCGGAGGGGCGGTGTGGGGTTCCATGGAGGGCTCGCGCGACTACACCGCGAAGGAGTACGCCGAGGACGAGCCGCTGCCGGACTGGGCGAGGGACCGCTCCGGCCCCGCGTCCCCCCCGTTTGTTCGGAGGGTCTCTCCGAAGGGCTTAGGCGACCCGTCCTCCTGCTCCTCCTCCTCACTCCTCCTCCTCACTCCTCCTCCTCCTCCTCCTCCTCCTCTTCCTCCTCCTCCTCCTCCTCCCTCTTCCTCCCTCCTCCCTCCTCCCTCGCTCCTCCTTCTCCCTCCTCCCTCCTCCCTCCCTCCTCCTCCTCCTCCTCCTCCTCCTCCTCCTCTTTTTCCCCCCCTCCTCCTCCTCCTCGCCCCCTCCTCCTCCTCCTCCTCCCTCCTCCTCCCTCCCTCCTCCTCCTCCCTCCTCTCCTCCTCCTCGTCCTCCTTCTCCTCCTCATCCTTCCTCCTCCCTCCTCCTCCTCCTCCTCCTCCTCTCCTCCTCTCCTCCTTCTCCTCCTCCTCCGTCTCCCTCCTCCTCCTCCTCCTCCCTCCTCCCCCTCCTCCTCCCTCCGTCTCCCTCTCCTCCTCCTCCTCCTCCTCCTCCTCCTCCTCCTCCTCCTCTCCTCCTCCTCCTCCTCCTCGCCCTCCCCTCCTCCTCGCCCTCCCCTCCTCGGGTCGCCTACGGCCCCTGGGGAAACCGTCCAGGGAGGCGTCGTCCCCCGATCGCCCATTCGCCTCCGAGGCGGGGCCTGATCGCCCACCCCGCCCAGGAACGTGCGGACTGGCTATCGTCACCGCGCGGGGCGTGCGCCCTCGCGGCAGGGGAGGGAGATCTGATCCGAGGCTGTGATCTTATCCAGGCCCACCGTCTGGGTAACAGATCCGCCTGATCCCCAGCTGGGGTTGGGCATGGCTATGTACGGGCCCGCGGGGATATTCCTAGCCGCCGCCAGCTGGGGTCTTAGGACGTCTGTTCTCAGCCACGCGCAGAGGGGGGTGGGGGGAGGGAGAGTGCTTCTTAGAAGCACCTCTGCTTCTCAGAAGGCGCGGGCCTTATCTATAGCTATAGATGTAAGGCTGGCGCTTGCTAAGAGGCAGCCTCCTGAGAAGCCTTCCCCCCTCCCTCCACCCCCTTGTGCGCGACGCCAACATCAGGAGCCCATCGCCGATCCATCGGCGATGTATCGCCGATTTCAGTTGGCGGCGGAATCCGAACCCTGCCCTCGCCGATTCACGATGCAGGCAACTCGAGGGGCGGTGGGGGTAGGGTTCGGAATTCGCCAGCCACCTGGCGAGACCCGAACCTTCCCTCCGCCTGCCATCGATTCAGGATCATCGATGGTGGTGGGGGTATGGGTTCGGATGTCGCCACCCATCCATGTCGATGCTTTCCCCCCAGGGGTGGACCTCAACGGTGTTTTGGCGATTTCGTGGGCCGTTTGGGTTTCGATGTCGTTTTGCAACCAAGGCGAATTCAAGACACAACGAGGAACAACGAAAACAAAACGAAAACGAAAAACACTGTTTAGGTCCAGCCCTGCTTCCCCCCCGAGCCCGTCTCCCCCGATCGTTGCGCCCCTCACCCCGCGCGCGCCGGTAGGGCAGGCAGGTCGGCGGCGCGCAGATGGCGGCGGCTGCAGCGACATGCATGCAAGGGCTGCCAGCGGCCACGTCTTCGACGAAGCTCCCCGGCGGATGTCGGCGGCGCGCCCAGGAGGGACGCGAGAGGGAGGCCTCCTGAGAAGGCGGCTGGGCTTCCCAGAAGCCCTCTGGCCGTCTGAGAAGTGCTCCGCGCCCTCGGAGAAGGCTTCATTGGCAGGTTGGCAGAGGGCGCGGGAGTTTCTTAGAGGCCCCGGCTCCTTCTGGGAAGGCCTGCTCCCTTGGCATCGCGCGGACGTATGTTTGTTGTTTGTGTGTATGTGTGTCGTGTACATACATACGTTACAATACGTATACATTTATGCATAGATATGTACATATATGTAGGTATGTATGTATATATACATATATACATATATAGATGTATATATGTATAATCAAAGATGTTGTTTTTTCTCTCTCTCTCTCTCTCTCTCTTCTGCGAGGATCATCGAGGAGCATCTGGGACCATCCCGCAACAGAATTCGCGCACGCAGCCGAGAATGGCACGGGGAACGGCCGCCCGGGGCTCCCTCGTCGCTTCCCCCCCTGGGGCTCGCCGCTAGGCGTGCGCAGGGTGCCCGTTTCCCTGCACCGTGCACCTCCTGTGGCCTCCCCCGAGGAAGCCTCGGCGGGGACGCTCCAGCAGAATTTCCCTTTGCAGCGCTTTCCGAAGTTTTCCTGTTGTGAGGACTTCCCATCGAATCCCCTTGGTGGTGTTTCCCGAGGATTCCCAGTGTGACGGTTTCCGATGGAATGCCGTTGTGGTGTTTTCCGGCAGATTCTTGTTTTGCGGCTTTCCAGAGACAATCTCTTTGTGGTGCTTCCCAGTGGGTTCCGAGCGTGAGGCTGTCCAACAGCGCCGAAAAACACACAGACACAACTCATCCGTCGACTCCCAGGACAAAAGATAGCAAAATATGGGAAGCGGGGGGGGGAAGGCGAGGACCCAGAACATACGGGTTGATCTGGAGGATCCTGGGAGTTGTGTCTGTCTGTTTGTGAGCCCTGGGGCCCCTCTCGTTTCCCGGGGGCTCGAGTCGAGGAGGCTCCCCGCCATCTCCTTCGGGCCCCGCAGGCCCGCTCTCCGGGCCCACCCCGGGGCCGTCCACGAAGCACTGCCCGGGAGGGGAAGAGCTCGGCCGGGAGGGGCTCGGGGACAGGTCCCCGGACCCCCTCGCGCTGTGACAAAGATCGCGACTGTGGAGTCGGAGGTCTGGGTCTGGGGCTTTCAGTCGTCGAACGTCGGCGGCGAGCCTGAGGGGTAGTGAGAAGGGATGGGCCCCCTCAGAAGGCTCGGAAGCCTCCTGGCCTCCTGAGAGATGTTCTAAGCCTTCCCCGAAGACGCAGAAAGCTTCTCAGAAGGCGCGAGGGCTTCTGAGAGGTCCCGCCACCTTCTGTGAAGGCCTTCTCCGTCCCATTTCCGCCCCTCGCTCGCCGCCAATCTTGGGGCCGTCCAGAAACATGGTCCGGGAGGGGAAATCTCGGCTGGGAGGGACCTGGGGATGGGTCTTGGGTTTTTTCTTCGAAGCAGAGAGAGAAAATTGCATACGCATAGATTTTCGGAGCTCCGCCCGGATTTCTTGGACCTGCGCTGTGACGGCGCCTCTGGCTCTACCCCCTCTCGCGCTCCGCGCTCCGGGGAGGGGGGGTCCAGCGCAGGTCCAAGGAATCCGCTCGGATCTCCAAAAGTGTATACTTCTGCAGTTCTTTGTTCCCCTAGGTTGAGCGTAATTCAGCGCGGTCTCAGGCTTAAGTCGGGCCTGTGTTCCTACAGTGGGATTTTGGACGAAAAATAAGAATTGCCAAAACATGCACCAAAATGGCAAACAAACATTCAATACATGGTCCCCTTACTATTTTTTTGACTATTTTTGAATATTCCCCCTGTAGAGGGACAGGCCTCACTTAATCCTTATCAGGCTTCGGGTGAGGAGGTGTCGCTCCAGAGCACGGCGTGCCGGAGCGCTCGGGAACGGCCGTGGCTCCCGGTGCATCTCCTCCAGGGGGTCATGCGAGGGGGGCGACCCTCGTAGAAAAGGCCTCCTTGGTGGGCTTCTTTTCCACCGCCACCACCACCATAAGTAAGAGGGGGAGGGGGCCCTCCCCCTCCTCCTCCTCCTCCTCCTCCTCCTCCTCCTCCTCCTCCTTCTCCTCCTCCTCCTCCTCCTCAAATTACCCCCCCCTCGAACTTATGGTGGTGGTGGTGGTGGTGGTGGTGGTGGAAAGCAAGCCCATCACTCAGAATCGTGGAGTGCTTCTCAGAAGGCCCAGGCCTGCTGAGGGGCCCCCTGCCCTCCTAGATGAACGCCGCCCTCGCGCCACCCCCTGGTGCGTGCTGCCAAGCGAGCGACGCAAAACATCGGGTTCGACTGTGCCGACATTCGCGCGTAAGTTCCTCGCGTAAGGTTGCGCGTAAGCTCCATTGTCTCCAATGTGGCGTGCTGCGCTGGCGGCAGGGGTAAGCCGGTGCGTAAGGTCGCTAATTGTTGACTTGCAGGCAGTGCTCCTTCCCTGGTGCCACTCCCTGTCCAGCCCCCACTGCTCCCCGCCCTCGGGAACTCTTGCAGTGGCCTTCTGACCATACTGACTCGTGGGCTACCGCTGGGGCTGTGGTCCACCTGTCCCCCATCGGCCTCTGGCCTGCTTTTCGTTGTTTTCACTCCTGGCGCGTCCCTTCCCCGCGCCTCCGGGCGGCCCGCTGGGTCGGGGTGTCCCCCCCCTCGGCTTGGCCCCCGCTCTCCCCGTCGGTCGGTGGTGTCGTCCCCCACCGTACTGGCCTCCCGCTTTTCCGCCCAGGTCGCGGTTTCTCCCCCCCTCCACGGGGCCCACGGCCGTCTGTGGCTCAGCTCAGACCTCAGTGCTCCTGCCACGCTGCGGTCGTGTTGCCGTTGCTCGCCTGTCGCCACTTCCGGTGTGCTGACTACGGGCTCGTGACCCTCTTCAGGGCTCCTGGTGTGCGCCTATCCTGGCGCCATTTCATGCACTTGTTCATGGTGACCCGCGCCATCTTGGCCGCGCGGCAGCTTGGCCGCTTCTCGTACTCGTGCGTCTTGCTGCCGTGGGACTTTGCGGTTTCGGCCACCCTGGTTTCTCGCAGCCTGCCAACGCTCACGCCCACCCCGGAATCAATTCGACTTCCGACTGTCGGTATTCTTGGCTGCGGCCATCTTGGTACTCTCGCAGTTGTCCGGGGTCTCGCGCCCTTGCTTTACTTACTCGGCTTCTGTCCCTGGTCGCCGTTATTCCCGGTTACCTGACGCTTCCGTCGCCGCTCATACTTGCACGCTGGCAGTACGACTCAGTCTCTGCCTGCCCCCATCCATCGCCGGTCCGCTGCTGAGGTGCTGCGCGAGGCTCCGCTTAGCCGCTTTAGGTGAGGCTGTGCCTCGCTGCCTTAGGTGAATGTGTCGCTGCGCGCCCCGCTTTGACTGGACTCGCCGCTGGCGCGCTCGCCCGCGGCCGCTGA